TAGAGAAAGAAGTGATATCATGGTGGATTAGATTGCGCCTCAGGTCAGATACAGCTTTGTCAATCAGCAAACAATTGTAAGAACCAATTCAAACAGGCCATGTGTTACCGGCCTGAAGCTGTTGTTCCCTGGGCGGTGACGCCAAACCAATTCTCTTTGAGTTTCAGGTACATCAGGAAAAAATCAACTTCCACGTTGTTGGCAGAGGGGAATGTTCCACCAAACGCACACTTCGAATAGCTTACGAAGCTCTCCCCGTAATTACCCACCATTATTTACATCACCAATATCTTGCTTTCCTCCTGCAGACGAACTGACAGCGGTGGTCGTCTTTTACACTTCTGTCCAATTAGTCATCTGTTCTAGGTTAGCAGTAACTTTAGACACAAAGAGAGATATTGCCTGGCCTGGCGACCTCCATTATCAAATCAACGTTGGACTCAAATATACCACATAGTGATAAGCTATCGTTGGCGAGGGTTGGTAGAAGACTGCCGCTCCTTCTGGAACACGTGCGTAGACTCCGATCACGCCCTGGTCCGTGCACGTTTATGCGTATGATTGAATGGACATAAAACAGTCAGCAATGAAGCCGTTACGCCCCCAAATTGATCAGGACACTGAATCCCTGAGATCGAAAGCAAAACTCCTCCTTAGGAAGCCTCACACAATATCCAGTCAGCTGTATATACAGCTGTAAAGGCCGTTTCTTTCCTAAAAGCAAAGGTTAGTAAAAGCCAGTGGATTTCTGCTAATTCATCCGAACTGATAGTCACAATGAAGACTGATCCCAGACGGCTCCAAATATGAAGAGGAGCGAAAGCTGCTCAAACACAAACTGATAAAAGTTGCTTGCAACGACAGTGAACATTGGTGGGCAAAATAAGCGAAAGAGATGGAAAAGGCATCAGAGATAATTAGCACCAGACAACTTACTTAGACTCGTTAGGGGATGAGGTGGCAAAACGCAAATGATAAGCAAGACGCTTATTCAGTTAATGAATTGTTGGTTTGTAGGAATTTGATTAGTCAGGGGTCTGATCACGAGTTGATATCAGCTAGAGAACCATTGGAAAACGAGCAGTGGAATACTGCTTGGACTCCTCATCAGTTCACACCCACTAGAGTTCGAACCCAGGACTTTCTGGTTATGAGTGGAACAAGATAGGCAAGAGGACAGTTACTCGTCTATGACATTGGCTAGGGGAAGGTGAAAATCATGGGCTGGCCACTGGATCGGATTCCAGTACTGCTGAAAAGTTTCGAACTAGGATGAAATGGCTGTCCACTACTCCCTAATGCGTTCCAGTGTTTCTCTAACTGAAATGGTCTTTACATTCCTTGTATTCCAAGCGAAATCTAGGACTTCAATCTTTGAAGTATCAATTGCAATGGTGCTGTTTTGTTTACGGAGTGAGGTTGCTAGCAACACCTTCAATCTCCCCTATCTTTTCCGGGCTTAACAAAGTTTATTTAAACTATCGAGAATGTGTGAGGGTGTGCTGACCGCGGAAATCGAATCCATACCTCAAAATTGGTTGACCAGGATTTTACAATTCGATTTCTTTTTGTTGATATGATTGTGATAGTTGAGTGACAGTCAAGTAGACGACAAAGGATTCTATGGAGTTATAAGCAGAAAACAGCCATCATGTGTTTCCTTACTAACACCATCTTCAATTAAATTAATAATAATAATAATAGTAATGATAATCACTTTCTTCCAAACAATAATAATGATACAGAATGGAATTTTTAGCGTCTTTATACATACTGCAACAATTTAGCCCTCTTTATAAATATACAAGTATATAAAATTATAAAAATTTTTGAACCACAAAAATCAATAATATTTAAAATGTAATACATGCAAAATACTAATAACAATAATAATAATTCCCCTTGTTATACTTTGCAATTGTTAGTGATTTAAAAAGTTTGCTAGTTCTTTTCTGACATCTCACTCTCTCTTCACACACAACCAGCCGTGCTAGATATGGTATAGTTGAATTGCTTTAGATTTTACTTTACAAACCATAAATTCTGATGGAATTTATCCTGGTTTTACCCGTCGAGAGATACAAGGAGAAAGTTGCCAATCACAAAGAGGATGTTCAGTATCAGACAAGATAACTTTTAGCCAAATGCTTGTAAAAATAGAAATATAAGGAAAAAGACGTAAACAGCGAAGAAAATTTTCTTTTTGACGATTCATTTTCTTAAGCTGCTGTACAATCGTAATTATATTTAACAAAGAATTCATAAGACCAATCAGATACTGGTAAAATTTGTCCTCAAAAAACGTATTACGTAGTGTAGGGTGTAACCTAGATGGGGTGACTAATTGGAAGTTAGACAAGAGGCAGAAGTTGGCATGACGTAATGACTAATCAATAAGATTATGTAGAATGGACAGGAACTAATGGAAAGAGGATAAAGTGTTTTTATATATAAACAAGATACCTTTTTTGGCCACTTCAGTGTGTATTTATCAATTTACTTGCTTGTGTGGAGCAAAGTATGTCTGTCGAACACAACGCCAAGTCCACGTATTCTGGAGCATTATTCAGCTCGGTTAGTCAGAAGATAATAGAATAATAGTAGCAGCTACATTCTCGAACACCTTGTCAACTGTGGACATCAAGCACCCTGCATGCATGCTTCACAATACCATACAGAGTTCCTCAATGTAGTACAAAAGGACTTCGCATGTGCCATCTGTATATAACTGAATTATTTACTATTCGGGATCTGAGACCTGATCTCTGCATTGAAAAGAGCTACATACATTTACTCTCCCTAAGGTGACCAAAATCACGTTCTTACCATAATTTTGCTTCTCTCTTATTATGTAAATTTACTATTATTATTACTGTTATTATTATTATTATTTTGTTGTCACTATTACTCCTATCATCCATATTTTATTATCACTCTATAACTGTTTGATAATAAAATTGCGTTTTCAAACAGACTTTATCTAAAAACACTTTATCGTCTTTCCACTAGTTCCTGTCCTTTCTCACACTTATTACGTCATGCCAACTTCTGTCTCTTGTCTAGCTTCCATTTAGTCACCCCATCTAGGTTACACCTTACACTAAGTAATACATTTTTCGAGGACAAATTTTACCAGTATTTGATTGGTCTTATTATTTCTTTGTTAAATATAATTACGATTGTACAGCAGCTTAAGAAAATGAATTGTCGAAAAGAAAATTTTCCTCTCTGTTTACGGTTTTTCCTTATGACTCAATATGAGAATATTTCGTCCATTGAAAAAACTGAAATGCCTATAAACCAACAACAATGTTGGTTAGTTAAGCCACAGGCACACCATTTTAACCCTACTTACAGCCTCCAGTGTTCTATGTAATATGACGTAGTCTTTCTTGGGAAGTCTACGAAAGAATAAGGGTGAACGCATAAAGAAGGTGAGTGGGCAGAATACATGAATTACTAAATTGTAAGAGAAGAGGTGAAGTTGGTTTATGCCAGTAGATAGTCTCAACTTCTTTATGATATAATAAGTCAAACGAAACATTTCCTTAGAAATCAACATGATATGAGGTGGCCAACGGAGATTCGAAGAGAAACTGATGCGGAGATGAGAGATATTCCATTTACTCCCTATCATCACAGTGCAATCAATATTATAGGAATCATGGGACTAAATCAACCATTCCACTCAAGCCTTGTTCACCTCTGAAACTAAAATCAATAATATGACATTTCGATGGATTCAGTTTAAAACAATTAAGGTGAGATCATTTGTTAACTTCAGGTAAGAATCTATTCATATATGAACAATCCGAAGCAGATACTACTGAAGCAGAAATTGTCAGATCATCAGCATTTTAGAATATTTTATGTGCAAATTTAATTCTTCAACTATTGAACATTATAGCTGAAGCTAAAATACAGTTGTATTGCACCATCCTGTTAATTTTGGTAACTGTTAGGTGGTAGGAGATATCTAATATCTGTCGCGTTATGTCGTGGATTGGCAGAAGTTAAAATTCATGCACTGGCCATTGGATCGGGTCCCAGTGACTTAATGGTCTACGAGCTCACCTGGTGACCAGGAAGTCCATTGTTTGAACCCCAGTGATGCGGGTTGCTGAAGAGTCCCAAACTAGGCTGGTGAAACAGCTGTCCAGTACCCCCTGGCGGCTTTCCAATGATTCTCTAACTGATATCAGCTAATGATAAAATCTTCCAACCGATCAAACAAAATCCCTACAAAACCAATACTTGAAAATCTGTGGATTTATTAGGTTTTCCTTCATACCCACTCCGCTTTTCATGTGAAGAAATTTAATGAAGTTCATATCATTGAATACCTCCATTTTTGGTAACTTTAAACTATAGCGACCCAAAACGAAACCACCTAATAAACGGACTAATGACCTCGAGTGACAAGTAATATGAGTCCACGGCAAATAAGCGGAATCATGCTTGCCGTATACGAATTACGTACGGGATTTCATCCAAATATAGTGTTCGAGTACTGTTTGGATAACACGCTCATAGGAAGGGAGAAGACATGTAGATGCGGAGGTGTAATGGATTTACAGAGACATACAGCTTCTACATATGCCCAAACTGTCGTAGCAGAAAATCCGTTCGAGAAGATACTCTGTTCTTTTTTGGTTTAAGGATACTGTAGGTACTTTCTTCACCAAATCGAAGTGACCTTGAGAAAGAGGAGTGAATGGATTAAGAAACTTGACGATTTACTGTTGTTTGAACGAATTTATGCATAGAAGTTGATTGGGCCTATCTATACAAACTCTTATGAGAAACTGGAGGTTTTCTTGCAACACATACAGGAACTATTTTTAACATTACTTTTCTATAAACACTTTTTCAAATTACGCGCTTTTTCTTCGCCCTCATGTGACTGATCGATAGGGTCGCTGTGGTTTATAGTTCCCCATTCTTTTTTACTTGTATACATTCATAGAAGACTGTAAAGTAAAAGAAATCTTTTTATAAACATTGATTTGTATTATGTTTAAATTAAGCACTATTAAACACACAAATATTATTTATGCATTAAAACAAACTCAATATTCAATATTCAATACATTCATGTTAATTTATATAATTTTGTCCATAATTCAGCTAAGCATACAGTAGAATGAAAACGAAAAAAGATAATCAATGGAATAAAACAGTAGGTAATAACAGACCATGTACGTACACCGAAATATTTTATATACAAGGATAATTGTGTTTCAGCTCTTCTTACTTCAAATGTATTCACAAGCCATAGTGCTAAATTACATATTAACAAGAATACAATTACTGAACGACCAGGTTTTATTAATGCCTGATTTAAACAACACACTTTACGTCTTGATGATTCAACAATAAAAAAGAATTGTAATAAGGCTTGAAATATTTCTAATGTACACTTTGCTGTGTATAATAATGCTATATAGTATATATCACTAGGTGTTATTTGAACAATTCTTGTTTGATTATTTGTTGCATTTAAATTTTGATCAATAGTCTTATCATGAACCTTTTCAATATCTACATGATCTTCTAAATCAATAGATTTAAATAAAAGAATGTGTAGAACAGTCTCAAAGGCTGGTATAAATAAAAAGATATGATAAGTAATACAACCGATTAAACCAATTGTCAGCAGATTATACTCAAAACTTTCACCATGACCTAATCGTCGAAATTTCAATTTGTTGGTCTGTAGTATAGCCATAATACAGGCTAGTAGGCTAGTGAATGATAAGGCGATTTTTGACTGTTGATAGATAAATGAAGCGAATTCTATTGAACCTTTACTTCCATGGACCATGAATAACACCATGCATACACTACTGGCTATTAGCAGCATAATGCCGAGAAATAATCCAGAATGTGATCGATGACATTGATGACCAGAGTATAATTTCAAGGATTTTTGATCAGTAGATATTTTTTTATTGTCGTCTGTTGTTGGAGAGGGATTATCATCTATAAATAATTGAATAATTAATGAGATCCGGATTAAAAAACAAACAAAATAACGAAACATTTTCATGGTTTATTTAAAGTAAATGGGTAAAAAGTTCGATGACATTTCGCTAACATCATTCAACAACTAGCTATTCTACCTTATAATTATTCATGGAAAAGGAATCCGAACTAAGCTTGTGTACCCCACTAGGCGTAATAATGGATGTCCTAAAAGATCCATCCACCGAAAACGTATGTAGCGGTAGGTAATTCCCCAGAATTATTTTTGGCCACAGCATTCATCACTGAACATTGGATGCTGACCCTCACTGTTTAAGTCAACTTGTTTAGCTGAAGGCTTCCAGTCAAGCATCCACGCCATTTGGCACGCTGTAGTGTTACTTTCGTCCGTTTGTGCACGATCCTTAGCTTGTTAAGCAATCATCTCGCACTCCGATTTGGTTCCGAAATATAACTCGTAATGTGGACGATCAATTCTTGTGTTTTGCTTTGTCTTTGGTCTACGCGGAATGAATACTATAGAAGCTGTGGGTGTTAGATCTTGCGTGAGTATATTTCGTAATATCCCTTAATGTCAACACCCTCAGCCTCTAAACGTACATGGGATAGACAACTAATTTTTGTAGTTGGGTGCCTATCTATAGGAAAAGACATCTGATTTATTCGCTCTGGTATAAGATAATCAAATATTTCGTTCTTAAATGCCACTCTAGCAGACAAATGGTTACCTAACCCGATTTATTGAGAAAAACACGGAAGATAAGCAATCCAGCGTGGTCAATAACTTAGTTTCAGAGGAAAGCATCTTCATGGATTTGGAATTCAAATGTGATCAAGCTAAATATATGCTCAAAAATCAAATAGTAAGATGCTCTTTGCAGTTAAACTCCACTTGACGGTCCTTTGACTGGCCACCCCCTTATTCATCTATCAGTTCATCTGCTCCTGTGGAGTAAGATTCATTGGCTGTAGCTACAAAATTTTTTCCACACTAGTACGAGGATATATTTCAGCATGGTTTTACGAGAGAGAGAAAGGAAGAGTTTGCTAAGCTCTATACTAGACCACCTAATCAACTTCTGTCACTATACCAACGCCATTATGATTTGAATATCATCATCTATAGAGTTCATGGTAACTTGTCTTCGTTTCAAATTTATAAAGTCAGCAGATTCTTGATTAATTTATGAATTCACGTCAGACTTTTGTGTATAAAAGAGGTTTTAAAGGCCCGCAAATCCACCTCGGCCATAGTAGAATAAGTATTTATTTATTGATTATTTATAATTTTGTTTATTTAATCTATATACTTTTCCCATATTACTACAAATGGTCTTTGAAGTTTGACCACGGATTGATATCAGTTAGGGAACCATTTGAAAACAAGCAGGAAGTACTGGACACATGTTTCGTCAGGGGAGTTTGTGACTCATCAGCAGCACGCACCCACCCCACTAGGATTTGAACCGGGGACATTCCGGTTAAATGGCGAGATCGTAGACTATGTGGCCAGTGGGTGTTTTATGCCGATGAGTCCCAAACTAGGAAGAAACACCCACACACTACTGACTGTATGTTTCCAGTGCTTCTCTAGCTGATATCAATCTGTTTTCAAACTTAAAACACATCAAATCCTTACAAACTAAATCTTGATCAACGTTATTATTTTTGTTTTCACTTTGAACACTTTCTGTTTTCACCCCGACTAACCTTAACATTGAGAATGTGCAGTTATTAACTATCTCTTCTACTGTATGCATTTATTATTAATATTATTTGCTTCTCTTTACTATAAGCGAACAATGCAAATAATCCTGTGGAATACAAATTTCTAACTTCTCTTTTTTATCATTATTCCCTTGGGTTCCGAGTGCAGCATAGGAACTCAACAGCATATCCCCACTTTTTTCCTGTTATCTGTGGTCCTCTGTAGCTGACCCCACGGTTTTCCATAGACTATTATCTCCTCCTCGCACGACCTCCTCCATGTCACCTTCGAACCCATGCCCTACTCGTTGTTTCCAATTCGGGTTCCACTCGAGAGATGGCCTGTGTGGAGCGTGATGTCATGCGACGGTCTCCTCAGTGGCGTGTGTCCAGTCCAACTCTATTTTCTCCTAGATACTTGTTGAGCAATAGGTTCTTGGTTAGTTTGTAGCTAGAGTTATTTGTTCACTGCTAACTCTGTTTTACCGGCCATTTGATCTTCAATATGAGGTCACCAAAGGCAGCTGTCGATGAACTCTCCAGTAGCTTGTTGAAATCCTTTTCATGGAGAGCATGGTAAGTTTCTGACCCATACAGAGGAAGTGAATGACTGACTTAAAATTGGTGTGGAAAGTCCAAATTTTTGTTTGTACTGACTGAGTGCAGAAGATTTCCAAACTGATTTCGGAGTGATGATGTTCTGTGTTGTTTTTCTAATTCTGGTTTCAACATCTTCAAACGTGCCTGCATCCCGTAGTTGAAAGGATCCTTCCTAGATAAGTGAAGGAAGTGACCTCTTTCAAATTTATTCCACTGATAGTGATTGGTACTGGCTGTTGTTGGTTGCTTGGTTGGTTATCTTCATCACTTCCGTCTTCTCTATGTTTACTTAAAGTAATATCTTCGCTGCCTGCCTCTTGTGCCAGTTTGCTGGTTTTCGCCTGTAGGTCTTGAAGTTTGTGTGACATTAAACATAAATCGTCTTCCTATCGATGGTCCAGCGTATTCCTGCATTCTCGCCACCCACAGTCTGGAACATAATCCAGCCTTGTCTTACTCCTGTCTTCACTTCAAAGGTTTCGCTGAGTTTTCAGTTGTGGACCACCTGACACTTGGCATTGCTGTCTAGCTGCTGAGTGAGGTTGATAAAGATTTCGGGTACTGGACGCCATAGTGTTAAAGTAGTTCCCAAATTACTTCTCGGTAAACGCTGTCGAAGGCCTTTTCTCTACTCTTGATAAATATTCTTATATCAACTGTTTTGGGGGTGGAGGGTGGGTTTGGGAATTAAGACCAAGTTTTGAACAGTCCTAATTTCAGTTAGGGAAAAATCAATTCCCTTCATGTTTAAATGTTGATATTCCGGTAGTAGCAGCAACAAGATTTAAGTTTATACCCTCTCACATTGACTCAATATAAAATATGTTTCATTATCCATTTTAAAGATGGCTTGGATACTGATTCAAAATAAACGAATGTTTATCGGTTTATAGTGGACTAATGTTTTCTTGTTCCTAACTGAGTTAAGTATGCCATTCAGCTTCTATGAATCTTACTAACTACGGTAACTTATTTTGAATCTTATATTTACTTAAATTGATGGTTAAATAGTATGATTGAAGTATAAACACTTCTGATTATGAGGTTGTAGTAACTCGATTGATGGACTTCTGTTTGAGGTTCTATTTCGAAACTCAGTTGGTCACTCAGTCAGTCACTAATAATTTATTCTCTTAGGAAGTCGTGGCTTAGTAGCCCGAGTAGTCCAGTGTTGGTAACGTCTCTGACTGCAGCACTCACTGGGTGACGCGGATTCGAATCTCAGAAGGGACATAAGTTCCCCCAGTGGTTGTAGATATGCCTTACTGACTGGTGAGTGACAAAATACATGAGATCTAGATGGTCCAAGGCTTACTACTGATTGCCTCCCAGCATCTAATATCAAAAATTCAAAGTGCACCGTGTTGACGAGCAACCTACTGGCACGGTGGCCATATTGCCAACGTGACTGTTAGAATTCAGTGTACACCAAACAAAGGACTAGACACATTACACTAGTTACAAATTAGTGTCCAATCAAAAGTGTATAAGTCATTGGTATTGGGGACGATTTGTGCTGTACTCGAGTTTCAATGAGAACAAGATCAGCACACACAATTTAGTGCAAGTATATCCGATTGACGAGTTCTGAACTTAGACGAAACGCTTATCCTGTATTCTTTTGCTAGCCTACATTAACGAAATAACGATAATGTACTTATCTACACGTAGTGTCATATATTCCCCTAATCTCGACTAATTTTAGAATAACTAAATTTTGCACTTTATATTCCCGCCTTTTGTGAAGACTAAACTCTCATTGGTTGCTACACTTTTAGTTTACCAATGAATTTGGCGTTTGTCTAGGTCATTATATATATATATATATCGTCACTGTCAAGTGTTTTGACTATTGAGAAAGTAAGGCATCTCTTACCAATGATCTGTCTTCTCTCTTCTTTCGTGTGTTGAAGGTATCATGATTCTTGTTGTGGTGGTGGTCAGAGTTGCAATTATATCGATGATTAGATGAATTTCCATGTGCCCATTAGGTTCATGTAACTACTCTCTGTCACCCAGGACACACTACCGGTTATATCATATAGATTTCCACTAAACTATAGTGACCCAAAACGAAACCACTTAATAAACATTTAGCCTGGATGACCTTGGGCGACCAATCAGATCAGCTCACAGTAAATAGGCGGAAATATAGATGCCGTGAATGAATTCCATTGCAAATTCCATTAGGACATAGTATTTGAGTACTCTCAGGATAACAGGTGTATAGGAAGCTTGTAGACGTGGAGGAGTAATATCTGTACAGAGATAAGCAGACTCTGTTGATGGATATATGAACAGATATCCAGTCTTTCGTTACAGAAAATCTGTCCTTGAAGATGCGTCGTTCCTTTTTTAGGTTTATGGGTGCCTTAGAGAAGTGAATGGGTCACGAAACAGCATGATATACGGTTATCTGGATGAGCTTACGTACGGAAATAGGCTTGAACTATTATCACTGAAGACTCTAATAAGGAATTCGGAAATTTTTCGGGACATACACACGAGAAATTTACCCTGTATAACTATTTTTTAACACTGACTTTGATGTCTATAAAGGAGTTTTTAAATGACGCGCATTTTCCACGGGCTCATCTGATTGGTCAATCAAGGTCATTACATCCGTTTACTTGGGTCCTTCGTTTGGGTCACTATTGTTCACAGTTACCCATTATCACTGTACATATTTTGAAAGTTACACAATATACACATACCTGAAGGTTCTTCAGCATCTTGATTTAATATTGGTAGTTTATTTCTTTGCAGAATTGGCAGATAGATTTTATATCCCATTACTGGTTTATATGTCATATGTTTACTGCATTGTCGATGAAAATATTCATCTAAGGTGACTTCTTCATCATCAACATCTGGAAATAATATTGGACTATTGAATTTTCCAAACATACTTTTACTTATACTATTAGCTGTTGATGGTGGTGATGAACTCAGCAGACTTGGAGAATTCTGTCCAAGACGTTCATTGATCTGACAGGATGTTTTAGGGAAATTTCCATCGACACGTTGTAACATTTTATAAAAGAATGATCCTGCAATTAAACTGTATTCAATAGCTAATGGAAATAAAAATGGGCCAAGTATTACACTGTAGGAACTGAAACAAACTTTTGAAGTATTTTCATCGCTTGTCTGCTTCAGCGTATCATCATTGTTGGATAGACCTAAAATCATAATGTGATAGAAGAAGAAGGCATTCAGTTTGAAAATGTACTCATATACTACTTTTTTATTGATTATAGTAGTAATGAAATCACGTTATGTACATAATTTTAAGGTAGATTTCATCAAGAATCATGGAGTTACTGCTGGACAGCTGGCCCCTCATACTTTTAGACGGACTGTTCAACAATATGGCACCACCAACATCCAGTGTCACTGAAGAGTATCTGTTCCCAAACATTACAGTGATGACAAACTGAGGGATAGACTTCCTGGAGTTCTGGTGGGAAGTTATGCTAGTTGGAAGTCTGCTAAGTTGGGTGTGAGAACGGATGCTTACCAGTGAAATCGGTTGGCGGTGAGAATTCATGCATCAGTAGAACCAAACTTTGAGGCTGGATGATCAAGACTTCATCCTCTTACACTGAAGGTCCATGCTTGGATGGAGACTACCGAAGAGTCTCAAGGTAAGATGAAACACCTGTCTATGCACTGCTTCTTCGTTTCCAATATTTCTCTTGCTAATTTCAGGTTTCGATGTATTCCACCTCGAAATCCTTAAAATCTCCTAAAAGGGATCCCTGAAAATTAGACTTGATTTAGCAAACATTTTGTGTAGTTTTAACACCGATCGAACAAGTTGTAATTAATAGGTGAAATGTCATTAGGAGGAGAAATAAGTGAGATGTCATGTGCTGGAAGGTACTCAGCACGAAGGCAACAGTGAAGAATCGACAATACAACCAGATTACATTGAACCAACCAATCAGATCGCTCAGCATTATAGATCGATGCTTTTCATAATTAACCTTGACAGTTTCACCCTGACTCAGCGTTAAGGTTAGGTTGAGATTAAGGTAGGGTTATGATCAAGGTTAGGGTGAAATTTGCAACGAAGATTATGAAAAGCATCCATTTGTAATGCTGAGCATATTCTTCACTGTTACCAGCACGAAGATCTACCTGGCTTTAGTTGTATGACTATCAGTTCCCATCAATAGCGTAAATTCCGCGCATTCAAAGGAACTCATGCTGACATAAACATTCGAGGTTTTGTAACGTTATTTTATTTATAGTTAGTCCTATGTGGATAGTGAAGGAGAGGGAGATAGGAGGAGTCCACAACTTATTCTTATCAGTGACAACATGAGATGGGAGTGACAAAGTTTTGGAGTCAGTTTTTGAAGAATTTAGAAATTGAATCACCATGTCACCATGATTATCATTTGATCAATCTGACGATTTTTAGCTGATTTGATACAAACTCCTTTTTTTACTGAAAATTTCATATTATGGGAGAAAGTGATATGCTCATTGATAATCTTTGAGATTAGATGGTTGCAGGTGATCCGCTGGAAGCCTTGGATCTAGGTTTCTTGCTATTTGACACTCATCAGCAAGGTTTATCTGCAACCTTGAAGGAACTGGGTTATAAGGGTTTGAATCTCTTTAGAAGTACGCACCCCACTGGGGCTCGAACCCAGGACCTTCTGGTTACAAAGTGAGCTCGTAGACCATTAAGACACTGGGACCTAATCCAATGACTCATGAATTCTAACTTCTGACAATACCTGAAAATTTATCTAATGCTCACTAGTGACTGACTCTATTCAGGCAGTGACCTGGGGTTCTAATGGAAAGCCGTGACCATTAGGGTACATCAGGTTGAAGGTGAGGCAATAACTTGTAATCAGAAGGTCACCTATCGACAAGAATTCCCACCATAAGACTGTCTGCGTAAAACAAACTGATGAATGCTAATGAGATATGGAATATGGATTCAAAATGAGGTTATTGATTCTAAATGAATGAAAGAACAAAGTTGAAGCATGCAATCAATGAAACAACTTCTTACTGTCAATGACACATTTGTAGTGTGCAACAATGAAAGTCATGCTTCCTACCTACTCAGATTATTCAATGACGAACATCCCAATATTGAATTTACTATGGAACATGAAAATAATGGAAAGTTCCACTGCCTCGACATTGTCATGCAACCCCTCGAAGATGGCAGCCTTCAGAAGTCAATTTTCCCAAAGCCTACACGGAAAGGACAATTATTACTATTATTTTTTCCTTTAATTCCTAGAAGAACATAAGGCTTCAGCCGTGCGTCTCCATTGAGTTCAGTTCTCTGCTAGAGTCTTCACCTGGCTCCTAGTCTGCCCACACGTTTTCATCCCCTCTTCACCTGACCCCCTCCAAGTCACCCTTGGACGATCAACTCGCCGCTTCCCTTTCGGGTTCCAATCGAGCAATGGCTTGTCTAGTGATGTCACTTGATGGTTTCCTCAGAGTATGGCCAATCCATCTGCATTTCTTCCTGCCTATTTGTTTCACAATCGGTTCCTGGTCGGTTCGCTCCCAAAGATCCCTGTTGCTGATCTTTCCTGGCCGACTATCTGATGTTGAGTATTGAGCGAAGACAGCTGTTAATGAAGGTGTGTAGTTTGTTTGAGATGCTCTTTATGACGCGGCGCCAAGTCTCTGATCCGTATAGTAAGTAGCACTGACTTCACATTGGAGTTGAAAATCCGGATCTTATTTTTGATGCTGAAAGGACAATACCTACATTTTAATAGTTTTTATCCAAATAGCTTTAAACGTGGACTAGTCAAGATCTGAAGTCTCAAATGTCAAACAAATCACAGTGAAGAAAAATCCCATCTACATTCAACTTGAATATAAAGGTGAAAATATTACAACAATTATCAACAGAAGATTGAGAACGTCTCTACTCAGAGCCTATCCTGCAGCTAAGCTCGTTCCCGTCTATCAAACAACTCAAAAATCGACAGATAACTTTCTCATATTAACTCCAACTGTATATACAAATTTACATGTATCTACGGGAGCAGTTACATTGGAAGAACAGAAAGAAGGGCATACCTCTGATTTTCTGAACATGTACCAAAAAGCCTGCATCTCAAGAGAACAAATGCTTTAAACAGTACCATTGCCAGGCATCTCCTTGACATGGGTCATGAGATGGACATCACAAGATTGTTCAAAATTATCAATAGGCAAAAGAGTTCAATTCTCCACAAGTTTGCCGAAGAACTCTCCATCAAGCGCCTGAAACCTGATTTATGCATTCAGAAAGAAGCGGTTATCAGCCTTTCCTTGCCCTGTCTGGTAATTGGATGTTTTCATCCTCTACTTTATCTGGTTATGTAATGTCGAAAGTTTCCATTGTGTATGATCTTTATTGTTCGGAATATATATATATATATATACTGATTGATTTTTGTTTAAAAATGAACTCTGTGTATATAAGTATGTTAAAATTGTTTCTGTAGATATACTTAACAATGACTTTGGCCTGTAAACAGCCGATGAGAAGCCAATGAAATAAACAATGGTGGTACCATTTAGTTATGCAACAACTGTTGTCTTGCTTTATTCAAATTCATTAAGGGGAATAAATGTATGAAATTAGGTACAATAATCGATTAAATACTTACTATTTTTAAGAGTGAATAAATTATGTGTCTGAAATAGAAGAAAAATAAACATGTTTGTATTATAGGACACAGTTTAAGCAAATACATGTATACATTTTCGATAATTCCTCACTAGGCATTTCATTCACTTATCTAGGGAGCATTGCCTCAACTACACGAGGAACGGACGAGGGAGGATGTCAAATCGAGAATCGGGAAGGCGAGAAACGCATTCATCAACCTGAAACAACCAATCTGGAAATCTTCGTCACTCAGCCTGCATCAACAACGAAATTCGGATTCTCAATACAAACGTCAAGTCAGTCAGTTCTTCTATACGGATCAGAAACTTGGCCAGTGTGTCACAAAGAATATTTCCAACAGCCTGTTGCAGACCTTTATCAACAACTGTCTTCGTTCTATACTGAAGATCAGATGGCCGGAAAGAACAAGAAGCAACAAGAAACTATGGGAACAAACAAAACAAGAACCAATCGCCCAACAAATATGCAGGAGAAAGTGGAGATGGATTGGACACTCGCTGAGGAGGCCGTTGGGTGACATCACGCCCTCGAGTGGAACCCGAAAGGGAAGCGGCGAGTGGGATGTCCAAGGGTTACATGGAGGAGATCGTGTGAAGAGGAGCTGAAGCAGTATGGACTAACATGGATGCAGGTGAAAAGTACAGCAGAAGACAGAAGCAAGTGGAGACGTGTAGTTGAAGCCTTATGTTCCACTAGGAACCCAAGGGAACAATAATAATAATAAATCACTTGGCATTACAGTTACATAATAGGATTGTAATCATAACACATTTGAAATCAATGTGGTGACCAGAATCAAAGTTCCATCTTACGTATGAATTAGTGGATTATAATTAACATGGTAACGGTGATAATAACAAGTTAGCTAACAAACTAATATTAGTTAGAGATCCATAAGAAACTGGGGAGTACCGGACAACTGTTTCGTCCTGGTCTGGGACCCTTCAACAGTACGCACACATAACTGCATCAAGAATAGGACCCAGGATGTTCAGGATAACAGGTGAGTCTGTTGATCATTCAGCCAATGGGAAGCGATCCAATGGCTCATGAATTCTAACTTTCATAAATTCCATATCTAATTTGAAACCAATCAAGTTCCTACAAAGAAACTTATGAAAAAAGCCAAGAGGGTTAAGGGGAAGAGACAGTCTTGGTGAGAAGAACAACCATTAATTAAGTTTGACCACGGTAGGAACAGCGTCTGGACATGTTCTTTTTGGATACAAAGCTCCAGTCTAGTCTATGTTATTGCAATATATTCAGCTATTTGTAGGAGATGTATGCGAACTATACGTGATAACGACTTCGTAATTCGGTATATAACCCTGAAAGCTGTGGTGATACCGATACGATGTTCAGTATCAACCAAGTTTGACAGAATCGAGCTTTTTATGCACTTAATTTCCCCCCTGCTGAACCAAGCTGGTAAATGTTCTCAAACCCGTAGACGAACCTGCCTAATTGTGCGCCCTATATAACTTGGACCACAGGAACAGTTGAAATGGTATATGCATGAAGAAGAGCTAAGGTAAGTTAAGACATCTGTGAGTTACTGGGTGAACATTGGATGGCTATTGAAGGATAGGAGCAGATGTGAAGTGTAGAAAGTTTTCTTCATCGCCCTGGCTAAACGTTGCGATATAATCTGCTCAGGAGTATCTCTCTTGAAGTGTAGAGGTAAAAATAGAAGCTTTTTCTCCACCGTTGCCAGTTCATGTTTACGACTATTGGATGTCTGTCCTCGCTTAGAATGTCTAGGATGACCTGAAGTTCTTCCTCTACACATTCCTCAAAACAAATGGACCTCGCTGTAATTGCTAAGTGTCTGATCAGATTACGTTTGTATTTCATCAGTACGAAGCTAAGGAAGTGTGTATACTGTGATTCGGTCTGTAGCTTTCTAAATATGGTTCTTTTGACGGAACCATCCTCTCTTCTCGCTAGTAGGAGGTTGAGAAGGTGCTGAGAGTAGGTGTATTTTCCTTCGTAGGTAAAATGGATCGCTGGGTGAGCCTTACTGAAGTTGTTCACAATCAAATCAATACTTAAACCTTTATCGTACACTACAAAAGTGTCATTCATGTAACGACAATACGCTTCTATTTTTGCTATTTCATCTTTCAGCGGACTATTTTGTAGTTTTGCTTGAAAAACAGTGCCTCTTCCCCTTAATCCTCTTTGCTTTCTAGGTTTGTTTGTTTTTCTTTGCTTATTATTGCAATTATTATTATTCGTCATAATTTATACCCTTCATTCAAACATTCCCTCAGTAAAATCGAATTTTCTATTTAAACTCATGAAAGTTAATCTAATGCTCACTAGTGACTGGATGAAGGGCTAAATTGCATGAAATTCTGGTAAGAAGTCGTTACTATTGGAGTTCATCCAGTCAGCAGTAAGGACAAACATTCGCCAGCGATGATATCGGCTGGTACCTATCGCGCTAAAATCACGAACTAATAGAAGTTAGAATTCATGTGCTGGTCATTGAGGAGTCGGGTGCCAGTGGCTGATGGTCTAAGAGATCCCATTGTGACCGGAGGGTCGTGGGTTCGAACCCTGCCAGTGGGGTGTGTACGTACTTCTGGTTAGTCCCAAACTAGCTGTCCAGTACTTCCTGGTGGTTTTCAGTGGTTCTGTAACTGATGTTATCGATCTGTGATCAAGTTCGAAACAAATCACATCCCTACGAAAAAACTCTTGAAAGTATTTATATTTACGAAAAATGTATAGTAGTCCATTATCGAGTAGTAGGGGGATGTGTTATAATTGATAAAATTACTCAGAGGTGGCTTCGAAAGTAAAAATATGAATGTGGAGAGTGTGCGTTTTATGCAGCCAACACTTTCGGAACTCATCTCTGAACATTTTCCGACATGGTTAGCAAAAGGATAATGCAAGACAGTTAGTTACTAGCTCTCATTTCCTGAGCAGTAAGTGAATTCAAGCCACGCAGCTCCACTAGAGTCGTCTTTCAAGATTATCTGCAAGGTAAGGCCAAATAGTGCAAAGGGCGTCAGGTTTTGGAATTCCTATATGGCGGAGGCGTTGGCGATTTGTCAATACAATCCCAAACTCTGTATGCAGAAAAAGTTTGTCCAGTCTCTGATTCTACCATGGTCTTAACCTCTTCACTAGTCGTTCCCAGTAAATTTTTTAATTTTGCTTCTACTTTATTAATTAATTCGCTATTATCAGTTTCATATGTTTCTTCTGTATATTTTCTCACTCTGCTCACACTTGCCAAATTGACATTCAACTACCTTATTCTCACTTACTAGCAATTTTAACCTTATCAAATTTCTAAACTCTTCTTGCTTTGTGCTGTTGAGTCCTACGTAATTTATAACTTTTATTATTACTACTAAAGCCACTTCTGAGTAATTATATCAGTTGTCACCCCCTATTACTCAATAATAGACCACTATACATTTTTGGTGAATATAAATACGAGTGTGTGGAGCCTGTGAAGATGATTTCGTCGATAAAGAAAATTTTTTCTTCACTAAACTGTCTTTGATTTTCTTCATGACTCAATAGGTATTTTCGGTGATTTGATCTAAATTCTTTTGACACAGGAAACTTAGGATACTGCAGCTGATATTAATACTCCTCGGGGACGCTCTGTATTTATCCACTTTGGTAGGACTTTTGATGAAGAGGTTTCTTATTCAGGTCTCCCAGTAAAGTTGTGTAATTTTTCAATCAATAAAATGGTAGGAAACTAGATTCAAGACTTCCTCAGGCATAGAAGGCAGAGTAGATAGGTTCTTGTCGTCATGACAACCGTAGGAGAGTGGCATTTGTCAAGGTAAAAATCTATACCCTCTTCTCTTCCTACTGTCTGTAAACGAGATACCGCTGGAAATAAAGTCATCTTGTTTGCTAATGATTATAAACTATAATGAACTTAATACTGTGAAGAGTTCATTGAGTGGGGACTACAATGATAAATTGACTCTCAAATCTCTCATATCAAGAAAGGTTGAGTCGCACTGATAATAATGTCCAGGTTGATAGTGGAATGTTAAATACCAAAAAAATACTTAATAAAATTTCTCAGAAAACATACAATAAAAACTTACATAATTATGATTTCCAGTCGAAAGTTTTATCATCTGAATAGGATGACTTGGATTAGTTGTTTTCAATGTCTGTGCAACTTCACCAACAACAACTTTGAGCCAATGACAAAAGTTGATTGTAGCTAAATGTGCATAGGCAAAACGGACTGCTACTCTGTGTTTATGAAATATAACCTATACAATATATATATAAGTAAAGAAGTAAAGAAATAACTAACTGTACTCACTATGAATTACTTTTAAATGGTTAATTAGTTAGAAATAGCTTAGTACTCAAAATACAAATCAGTCTGTTTGTCTGACTGGTAACTACTCAGTGATCAATTTTGTAATATTATGGTGAGAGCTGGCTGCTAGCCAAAGTTGGTAGACAGTAATTGACGTCAATGTTTATGTCCCCAATATTGGTGGTGAGAAAATGAGAACAAAGGCTTTGCGTAGGCGGATACAGTTGGCATATGGATGATCTGACACAGCCACAAAGAGATGCAAGGATAACTTTCTCTGAGAAACAACCAATCGAAAGACTGTATTTTCTACTAACAATAATCTACAATAATGTACATTAAAATCTATAAATATGTGTTGATTTTCCTTAATAAACGATCTGTTGCCTGACCCTTGTCTTCTGTTGTTACAGTTTGACTGATAACTACTCAGTGATCAGTTTCGTAATAATTACGATAAGTTAATCGATATAATAGTGTATGGTGAGGTGCAATTATTTATCAGTAGTGTGGGGATTTCTTATTTCTCAGATTTGGAAAACAGAAAGATTGAGCAAAGAAATATTTACTTTTCAATTAGATCCTCTTCTCTGGCTCTACTGTAATATATATAGCATTTTTACAATACGGTGACAACATCAGCGAAATCATAACCCAGCTCTTGAAGAATACAGTTAAAAGAGCTTATTATGCGGCAGAGGTACTTTGTCTCTTCAAAACCAACCCTATTCTATGTTCCAGAAATAAGGATAAACTACCTAATTTTGCCCCTTCTATGTGTGTCTACCAGTTTGACTGCAGCTGCGGAGCCAGCTACATTGGGCGTACAATTAGGCAGTTTCATCGTCGTATTTCTGAACATCATCCAGCGTGGTTAAGCAAGGAACAAACAAGATCTATTCGTAGCTTTATTTTAGCACACCTTATTGATACTGAGCATAAGGTTGATGTGAATACTGCATTTAAAATTATTTATCGAATTCCGACTAATCTTAACTTTGCTCTACGAGTTCGTCTTCTACAGACAGCTGAAGCAATCGGAATCCACCAGAAGAAACCAAGCCTATGTGTACAGAAGAAATTTGGGCAGCCACTTTCCTTACTGTGGCCATACTTACAAGACAGGACTACGTCGCCCCCCGCCCTCTCCCCCTAAACGTATTAAATTATAATTGTCCAAATTATTTTATTTTTATTTTGACCACTTCATCTTTAATTACGTGTCATCCTTGTAAAATTAATTTATTCTATCCATTTCTACCTTTTAAATGTGTATTGATTTTCTTCGTTAATTATCAACCCATTGACATTTTGACACTGTTTAATTATTGTTAACAAACATATCACCACTTCTTTGGTAAACTATTGTGTATTATAATATAAATGCTATACTTAATATATTAGAGTAGAGCCAGAGATGAGGATCTAAGTGAAAAGTAAATATTTCTTCGCTCAATCTTTCTGTTTTCTAAATGTCTAAATAGGGATATATTCTCAGATTTACTTATTAATTATTATTGTTCCTTTGAGTTCCGAGTGGAACACAGACCTTCAACAGCACATATCCACTGTATCCTATTTCCTGAGGTTCCCTTCATCTGGTCTCACGATTGCCTATAATCTCCCATCTCCTCCTGCCCACATGATCTCCTCCATTTCACCCTCGGATCCATGCCCTAATCTTCGTTTTCTATTCGGGTTTCACTCGAGTGATGGCCTGTATTGAGCGTGATGTCATCCAACGATCTCCTCAAAGGCGTATGTTCAACCCATCTCCATTTTTTCGGGATATTTGACGAACAATAGGTTCTTGGCTAGTTTCTTCTGACAATTTCTTGTTCGTTGCTAATTCTTTCCGGTCGCCCATTTGATCTTCAGCGTGAAGCCATCGAAGGCAGTAGTTGATGAAAATCTACACTAGCTTGTTGGAAATGCTTCTCGTGATGTGCAGTGCAAGATTCTGACCCATATAGCAGAAGTGACTGACTGACTTTATATTGGTGTTGAAAATCCGAATTTTATTCTTTATGCTGAGTGAAGAAGATTTCAACACTGATCATCAGAGTGATAAAGGTGTGCCTTGCCCTTCCGATTCTGGTTTTAACATCCACATCTGTTCCGCCTGCAGTTGAAATGATGCTTCCTAGATAAGCGAAGGAAGTAACCTCTTTCAAATTTATTCCTCTAATAATGATTGGTGCTGGCCGTTGTTGTTGCTGTTGGTTGGTTGGTTATCTTCATTACCTCCGTCTTTTCTATGTTCATTTGAAGTCCTGTTTTTACTGATTTTTTCTTATTCCTTTACGTTCCCATTGGGACATAGGGCTTCAAGCTAGAGGCTTGAAGTTTCTGTAGCAATGGTGATTATTTTTACAGGATGGGGTTGCTAGCCTCATGCCCAACCTTCCCTCTTTACCAGTCTTACTACTGGCTTGGGAAGGTAAATGAGTGCATCGGCCAACGATTGAACCCCGAACCCCCTTCGTGGTGGGTGGGCACTCTACCGCTGTGCCACCGACGCATGTTTTTACTGATTACTATTTAGTTAATAAGTAGCATACAAAGCAAAGCTATCACAGTTAGTCAATCGTCTGTTCAGTAGGTTGTCGGTCATATCTTAGAATTTAGTAATGAACGATACAGATTTAAAATCCTTAGGAAACATGAGTTTCAGACTTGAAGGGTTATGTATCCAAATGATGAGGAAGAATAAAAGCGGAAGTTGAATGTTTCACGGGTTCCTAGACAAAAACGCTTAATATCTAATCGTTACTCAAGTGAATACAGTTTGATAGTTTTCCACGGAAACACACATGCAATTAACGTCTCAAGAAGAGACAGAACTATAATGAATGGGAGCAGTGATCACGGGCAAATTCTGGAAGCATAAAGTTACCTTTGGTCAAACGGTAAGAAAGGTATTGAGCTATTGTTAAAATTGAGTTGTTATCAACAGAATTCTCAAGTATAAAGCTATGAGCTACACTTCTGGTGCTAGAACGAATAATACTGTCGAGTAGATCAGGCTGAATTAGCAGGTACAGCTGGATCCGAAACAGAAACCCATAAGGCGAAAGTCAAGCGTCTAGGTCAATGAGGTACATCTCCGAAGGCAATCAGTAAGAAGACCAGAATCTAAATTTCGTATTGGTTGGCACTTATCTGCAAGGGGTATATGAAACCTTTAAGGAATTCATGTCCTCTTCGGAGAATCAAATCCCTCACTAACCGATGTTATAGTCAGAGACATCATCACTGAACTGATTGGATAGGAATGAAGTGATGTCGAGGAGTTTTACTCAAGTTAGCGGCGGAATCTAATGCGTACTGTCTTCAATTGAGTGAAAACTACCACTGTTTATATTCTTAAGACCTGACATAAGATGTATTGGCAAATATCTTGTTTTCAAGAGGTTGTTTGCAAGGATTTGATCTGTTTCAAATTTGTGGATATTCTCAGATTTCAGTGAAGAATTTCATGAATATTTATTCGGTTAGTCCTGCTGTGGCACTCATTTGAAATGAATTAACGTTATATTGCACGGTACTGAATGCTGAGGGTTAAAAAGTGACATTCAGGAATCTGTGTTTCGAATTTCACTCTTATGAGCTTTCATCCGTAAAGTGAATTTGTAACAATGACAGATTTTGGCTCAAGGGCTTGTCGCAATCAGCTAGAATTCCCTGCCAAACCATGAAAATTGTGTTACTGTGTCACTATACTTCCAATAAACAGAATCCTGTCAGTTCGTAAGACTAGATAAGATGAAATTACTAACGAATCTGTAGTTTTACTTATTACTTCCCCAGTTTGCCAGAATTTGCTTGTAAGGAATTGATTTTTTCACATTTGATCATGGATTGATATCAGTTAGAGAACCATTGAAAACCAGGGAGTACCAAACAGCTGTTTCGTCCTAGTTGGGGACCCATCGCTAGTACGTACCTACCCCACTGGGGTTTGAACCCAGGACCCTCCAGTTACAAGGGGAGCTCGTAGACCATTCAGACATTGGGACCTGACTCCTCAATGACCAGTCCATGAATTCTAACTTCTATCAATTCATGATTTTAACGCGACTGGCACCAGCCACTGCGTTGTCGCTGGCGAGTATTTGTCCTTACTGCCGACCGGGTGGACCCCACTGGTCATGACTTCTCTCCAGAACTTCAGTGGTTCTCTAACTAATATCAATCCGTGACCAAACTTCTCCAGTTAGGTTGAATGACTTATAGACTATAGCTCCTAGTTTATTAATTAGCCCAATTTTCGGACATATGGTGTCTTGAGTATACTCAATTTTTCTACCCGTATGTACATAGAAAAAGTGAGTATTCACATAAGCTGATTCCGACAGTTCTGGGTATTTAGTGAATCTGTGAAACATCCTCAAAATATTACCTCTGATGTTCCGTTTGCAGAAGGACAAGAAGTGTACGTATACTTTAAAGCATTAAGCAGTTATTTAAGTTGTCTTTACAACACTGAGTTGAAGAAAGAGGGAAGTAACAAATAGCAGTGTCTAGGTTTTGGGTTATTTAACAGTATAAAACTATGACTTTGTTAGGTCCAGATTATCATTCTAATTGCTTGATGAGTGAATATGGCAACAGTAAAGAATAGGCACTACAGTCAAATGACCCTGAACCAACCAATCAGATCTCTGAGCGTTACAAATAGATGCTTTTCATAATCTTCGTTGCAGGTTTCACTCTAACCTTGATCATAACCTTACCTTAATCCCACCCTAACCTTAACCTCGAACCAGGATGAAACTGTCAACGAAAATTATGAAAAGCATCGATCTATAATGCTGAGCGATCTGATTGGTTGGCTCAAGGTCATTTGGTTGTGGTTTCTATTCTTTACTGTTCCCGTGAATGTATAACTACTTAGGAGGGGATAGTCGTGTCTTTTTATGTAAATATTTTAGAAATCCTCTTCGAAGCTAACCGAAAACCTTTCTGATACTTCTGCTATAATATTTTAAGTAAATTCGAAGTGAACATTTAAAACGAGAAAAATAAACTTACCCTATGATATTTGAAAACGAAGTATGTTTGCAACAGAACCCATATTATTCTGATTATATGTTTTGGTATCCATAATTTACTATGACATATTGGTGCACTGACTTCCCAGACAGAAGACAGATTGAAACCATCATGAATCATAACACCTAGTCCAAAACCTACATGAATGATAAATGTTATTTTTAGTTTTTGAATGTAGCTACTTAATAAGAGATAAGTAGCTTAAAGTGTAAAAGATAAAAGCCTGAGACATATTCTCACTGTTGATTTCGTCACAGACCTATATCATTTAGAGAATCACTGAAAAACCAGCTGTTTCATCCTATTATGTGACTATTCAGCAGTGCGCACGCAAATCACCACTGGCGATAAAACTCTAGATCTTCAGGTTACGAGCCGAAACTTTTGACTAGTGACGTGTGGATTTTAACATCTTAACTTCATAGTTTGAAAAGCAGAATTGAAAGAATTCTGATTATAATGTGATAAGTTTGTCTTATTGTGTATTTGAGAGAAAGTATTGATTGGTGTCAGCTTAGTCTACATCAGATTTAATAAATTTTAGTAACCACCATTCAAAGTCTCCAGGAGAGTCTTTTTTGATTAGGTTGACAGCAAGAATGTGGCACCTACTACCAGTTTTATCCATATATATTCATTTGTATACTAAATTACTGATAGAGTTTGCTAGCCTTAAATGAATCTGAATATTTACAGAAATTTCAAATAATTTACTAAATATTGATCTACTAAATTTAAACAAAACCATTGTGTTCAAGAGTGAATGCTGTTTAAGTTATCATTAACACTCAGGTCACTTCTGTCTCTTATTGCATTTAGTGTCATCATTATTTACAGATGAGAAATATGAGTTGATAGACATTTATGATTTATTTTAAAACAAAACTGTTTTTTAAGCTCATCATACATTGTAACTGGTTTAATAAATCCGATAAAATATCTAATTTCTTTAGTTTGTACTTATAGGAACATTTATGCTTAAGTACATTGTTGAATGACATTTAAATTTGTTTTAATTTACCACTTAAATGTACAATTGAATATTGAAAGAATTTAAAATCAAATGAAAATCACTACAAGATTTAAATCAACAGGACTGAGGTTTTTAACGATTTGTTTCAATGGAAAGCTCTCCTCAAGATAGGAAACTAGTAGAATAACGTGAAACTTGTTCACAGCACTTAGTTAATCTCTGAATTCATCAATAAAATCTCAGATAAAGAAAAGTATTTTCAAGGTCACCTATTAGTGGTTGTGTATGGGCGTATGTACCTGTCATACTCCTTCATGTTCAGAGTGCAGTAGCGTTTGAAATTCTTACTGAAGTTTATTCAATACTAATATTGTGGTGAGAGCTGTCTGCTAGCTAAAATTAGAAGACAACAATTTACGTCAATGTTTACATTCCAAATCTTGGTTATGAGAAAAAACAAGAACAAACACTAACTCAACAACCAGTCACAGCAGACTTAGCGTCGGTGGATACGATTAGCAGATATATCACCGGTCTTTCTAAGAAACGGCCGCAAAGAGATGACAGAATAACCTTCAGCAGGAAAACAACCAATCAGAAGACGTTGCTTCTCTCCTAATAATAACGAATAATAATGTACATAAAAATCTATAAATATCTGTTGATTTCCTCAATAAACGATCTGTTGCCTGTCCCTTGTCTTCTGTCGTTACAACATTACTATTGTTATTACCGTTATCATAAAATAATCACTACATTTATTCCAGGCATTTAATACTCACGTTTGCAATTTGATCTGTTAGCCAGGTGGGTGGTGAACTGGGATGAACTGATATGCACTCTTTTCTGATGTAATGCCTCAACAGTCACAGGGAGGATAGGAAAGTTCGACTTGACTGGTGATCACAAAAACACGTGACAATGTATATTACTGAATGAATGATGTGAGTAGATATTCAACACTCACGAAACAACCAGTAGTGTTTGCTGGCTAGCCAGATCAGAGTGAGTGATCTGACTTCTGGCCAGCTGTTTCTTTCATTCAAGACTGACATGACCAGCAGTGCATCCGGTTAGACTCAGCTCAGAGAAATCAATCAGTTCAAATCACTCAAATTTTGTCTAACTACTTAATTCACTGATAAGCGCTAACTTATATGGAACTTATGTTTAGGATTTTCTGTCAAATAATTGCTAACCGAAGTCTGTTATAAGAGAAAGACGTAAACAATGGAGAAGAGAATTTTCTTTTCGACGATTCATTTTCATAAGCTACTGTACAATCGTATTCATATATTTAACAAAGAATTCATAAGACCATTCAGATACTGGTAAATTTGTTGTAGAAAATGCATTACATAGTGTGTGTGTGTGAGGTGTAATCTAGAAGGGGATGACTAATTGGAAATTATAAAAGAAGGGGTAGAAGTTGGATTAGAAAACTCTGTTCGGAAGATACGATAGGGAATGAATTAAAATCATTACGTGAAACCCACCCCACTGGAGAATGGGTGTCCACTCAAATTTATCGACACAAATATGCAGGAAAAACCTCCGTCACTGAAAATCACAGTTATTCCCAAGAAAACTCTCTTCATGAAACTAGAATTCAAAGGTGACATCGAAGCGGAAATTCTTAGAAATCGCCTTTCTAAATCTCTGACGAAGATATTTAAAGCAGCCACCTTACGCATCATATTATTCTCCAGCAGACAATTTATCCAGTCTAACGTTAAAGCCAAGATACTGCTTTTGGCAACCTAAATGTGGAGCAGAGTATATCGTCCCTACATAACGTCAAGTCCACAAACGTATTCTGGAACACTGTCAAGACTGGCTAGCCAGAGGAGAAAAGACGAATCCTAGTAGATGTATTCTCGAACACCTTGTCAACTCTGGATAACAGGCATCTCCGTATGAATGTTACACAGAGTTCCTCAATATCGCACGAAAGGACTTCGAATACGCCATATCTGAATCACAGCCTATTCGGGGTCTGAAATCGGACCTCTGCGGTCGAAATTACTAAATACATTCACTCACCCTACCGTGGTCAGAAAAACGTTTTTACTATAATTTCACTTCATTTTATTATGTAAGTCTACTGTTATTATTATTACTATTACTATTATTATTATTTTCAAGTATTGTTTTTGTAGGGATTTTGTTTGAATGGTTAGAAGATTTCATCATGAGCTGACATCAGTTAGAGAACCATTGGAAAAACCTTCAAGAAGTCCTGGGCAGCTGTTTCGTCCTATTTTGGAACTCTTCATCAGTACGTTCCCACCTCCGGGGTTTGGATCCAGGACCTTCTGGTTACAAGGAGAGCTGATATACCATTAAGTCACTGGGACTCGATCCAATGGCCAACCCATGAATTCTAACTCCTGCCAATTCATGACATGGCGCGACAGCTTCGCAATGTCTTCTACTGTGAATTACTGCCTCATCTTCAACTTGCTTTGCCCTACTGGTCACGGCTTCCAGCTAGAACACCAGATAACTATCTACCTGAATAGGATCAGTCGCTAGTGAGCATTAGATCAATTTTCAGGTATTGGTTTGTACTGATGAAGAGTCCCAAACTATGCTGACGAAACAGCTGTCCAGGACTCCTTGCAGGTTTTCCAATGGTTCTCTAACTGATGTCAGCTCATGATGAAATCCTCCAACCAGTTATTATTATTATTCTCATCATCTTTATTTTATTATCACTCTCTGTTTTATTAATGACACTGCATTTCCATACAGATCTTACAAAAAACACTATGTCGTCTTCCCATTAGTTTTTGTCCAGTCTACACAATTATATTAACTAGTCATTTTACACACTTACGGTGTCATCCCAAATTCCGCCTCTTTTTCCTCATTTCCAATTAGTCATCCCCTACTCGATTACACCGCACGCACACTACGTAATGCGTTTTCTACAACAAATTTACCAGTATCTGAAAGGTCTTAAGAATTCTCTTTTAAATATATGGATAAGGTTGTAGAGTAGCTTATGAAAATGAATCTTCGAAAAGAAAACTCTTTTCTCCATTGTTTACGTCCTTTGATTATGACTTTTAATTATTATTATTGTTCCTTTGGGTTCCTAGTGGAACATAGGGCTTCAACTACACGTCTCCACTTGCTTCTGTCTTCTGCTGTACTTTTCACCTCCATCCATGTTAGTCCATACTGTTTCAACCCTTCTTCACACGATCTCTTCCATGTCACCCTTAGACGTCCCACTCGCCGCTCCCCTTTCGGGTTCCACTCTAGCTATGGCCTGACGCGCGATGTCACCCAACGGCCTCCTCAGTGAGTGTCCAATCCATATCCACTCCCTCCTGCATATTTGTTGGGAGATTGGTTCTTGTTTTGTTTGTTCCCATAGTTTCTTGTTGGTTTTTGTTCTTTCCGGCCATCTGATCTTCAGTATAGAGCGAAGACAGTTGTTGATAAAGGTCTGCAACAGGCTGTTGGAAATATTCTTTGTGACCCACCAAGTTTCTGATTGTGACTTAATATGAGAATATTCCATTCATTATAGAACTTTTAGTAAGTAAAACTATGACAGTGTTTCAAACACATCACTGACAACTGTCCTTAGTATTTCACTTCATACTTTACACAGAATAATGAAACCGTATGCGAGTACTGTTTACATTATCATTACATATTTTAATCTTTCATGAAACTGGTGCTGCTAATGACACAGACAGAAATGAATGCTGTGCCTGCAAGGTGTTAAGTTAGGATAAGCTATATCCCATTAGACAGTTCTATAAATACACAGTTTTAAATTGGTCGATAATGACAGGCGATGGAATTCAACACAAGTGTTTAGTCCTTTTTGGGACTCGTCAGCTATACGTGTCTGCATTCCAACTATACAACCATTACTAGCTGAATAACTTCAAATAAATCTAACGGACTCAGTGGGGCGTTTGGAGTAAACACAGGAGTCAGACAAGGGTGCTTATTATCACCAATGATATTCCTAATTGTGGTGGACTGGATTATGCGTCAGACAGTGGGAAACGAGAAGACAGGGATATCCTGGACCGACGTGAAGAACCTAGAAGACCTGGATTTCGCGCGTGGATGATTTATGTCTGATGTCACACAAAATCGAAGACTTACAAGTGAAAACCGACAAACTGGTCGAAGAAGCAGCGAAAGAAGACAGGACTCCAGGTGAACATAGACAAGACGGAGGTTATGAAAATAACCAACCAACAACAACAACAGCGGCAACATCCACCGCCAATCACCATCAATGGGAGGAACTTTGAAGACGTTACTTCATTCACTTATCTAGGGAGAATTGTCTCAACTACAGGAGGAACAGATGAGGGAGGATGTCAAATCGAGAATCGGGAAGGCGAGAAACACATTCATAAACCTGAAACCAATCTGGAAATCTTCGTCACTCACCATCAACAACAAAATTCGGATTTTCAATACAAACGTCAAGTCAGTCAGTTCTTCTATACGGATAAATCAGAAACTTGGCGGGTCACAAAGAATATTTCCAACAGCCTGTTGCAGACCTTTATCAACAACTGTCTTCGCTCTATACTGGAGATCAGATGGCCGGAAAGAACAAAAACCAACAAGAAACTATGGGAACAAACAAAGCAAGAACCAACTGCCTAACAAATATGCAGGAGGGAGTGGAGATGGATTGGACACTCGCTGAGTAGGCCGCTGGATGACATCGCGCGTCAGGCCATCGCTCGAGTGGAACTCGAAAGGGAAGAGGCGAGTGGGACGTCTAAGGGTGGCATGGAGGAGATCGTGTGAAGAGGAGCTGAAACAGTATGGACTAAGATGGATGCAGGTGAAAAGTACAGCAGAAGACAGCAGGAAGTGGAGACGTGTAGTTGAAGCCCTATGTTCCACTAGGAACCCAAGGAAACAATAATAATAATAATCAAAGGGCATCGTTAGAACGTTCATACTACAAATCAGTGCGTCAACAGACAGTAAGCAATTATATCGAGTAAAATCAAACAAATATATACAGTCTGTCTTAAAAAAAACAGACCAACTTACCAACTGCACCTAACCGCATGTATAAATTCATGCCTTCTGGATGCCATGAAATGTAGACATTTTTATTATTATAAAATTGAATTAATGGTGTATATTGTCTTTCACTTGTTGTCGATTCAATATCAGAGATTTTATCAGAATTACTCGCTGTCGGTGAATGATTCACATCACTAGGGATTAATGTCTAGAAATGAAATAGGAAAGTTTTTGAGAAATTAATTTATTACATATAATAGAGAAGATTTGTAGCTCAGGTGGATGATTTTGGTGTGGTTGTGTTCTCTGAGCTGGATGGTTTGGTTGCGAAGCTTTCATTACTCTACTGAGCAACATCTTCAGCGCATACTTCGATGTGAAGTGAGCTTTTGGAATTCTCTATGAGTTTATTAGTCACCTCTTCCAGTAACCTTGAACGTGATTGGTTGTTTTTGTGTGACATTTCACCCCCTAGTTTGCTTGTCTCGGTGCTGGCTGCTTCTTTGGTCTGAATGTCGTTAGTCATTCCTTCTGCTAACCTCTAGGAATTCCTAGAGGCCTGGTATTCAAATGAATCAGCAATCAATAGACACATAGAGATTGACAAAATATACCAATCCATACGAAGAAATTCACACAAAAACAAAGTCAAACTTCAGGTCAAGGAAACAGTCAACACAAAACAAGTGAACTAGAAAGTGAGAAGTCACACAAAAACAACCAATCACGTTCAAGGTTACTAGAAGAGATGACTAATAAACTCATAGAGAATTCTAAAAGCTCACTTCACATCGAAGTATGCGCTGAAGATGTTGCTCAGTAGAGCAATGAAAGCTTCGCAACTAAACCATCCAGCTCAGAGAACACAACCACACCAAAATTAATTTATTAATTTTCTAAGGAGTGTATATCATCTCATTTAATATGGCTTAATTTCAACAAAGGATAGGATGCAAAGATCCCTGAGTAAACAGTTGAATAAAATCGTGTGCCAGGTTAACCCTCGAGTATGACCTGAATGGAAAATGACGAACTGGGCCTGGTTCTGAGAGTGACATGGAGGAGATCGTGCGTTAGGGAGGAGATGAGAGACTATGGACAATCGTGGGACCAGCTTTCGAGGCCCGTAGAGGATAGGACATATTGGAGACGTGATGCTGAAGCCCTATGTCCCAATTGGAAGCCAAAAGGAACAATGATAATAATAACAAAATTTGAACAAAGCAGTAGCAGGATAACACATAGAGTAGGATGAAACGGATCCAGTTTATTTCATCGGTTCATGTTATATATCAAACAGAAGTAATGTGAGCAATGAACGTAATTAGTTATACTACACTTATGACATACTTTAGGTCGGTATAAAAAAATATATCCATTTGGATATTTAAAAAGCGAAAGGAATGAGCGAAGAAATATTTACTTTTCAATTAGATCCTCATCTCACTATGGCTCTAATCTAATATATATATCCATAGCATTTTTAATACAATACAAAACATTTCCCCAATTAAATGGCGATATGTTTGTTAACAATAATTAGTCAGTATCAACATGTCAGGCAGAGGGCTGGGTTGATAATCAACAATTAAAAGTTAATATACACGATTAAAGGGTAGATATGGTTACAACAAATGGATTTCATAATGCGTAATTTTGGAAAAATCATGAGTAATTAAACAATACGCGAGTGTTCAAGTTCATAATGTAATAGGTGAGGGAAAATTTGTATTTGCCGCCAAAACAAGTCAGTAGGGCAACAGCTCCAAAAGAAGCCATTGTTCATAAAACTGCAATTCGCTTGGTGATAACATCAGCGAAACAGTAACACAACGCCTGAAGAGTGCAGTTAAAAGAGCTTATTATGCAGCAGAGATACGTTGTCTCTTCACCACCAACCCTATTCTATGTTCGAGAAATAAGGATAAACTACCTAATTTCACCTATTCTATATGTATCCACCATTTCGACTGCAGCTGCGGAGCCACCTACATTGGGCGTACAATTAGACAGGTCCATCATCCTACGTGGCTTAGCAATGGAAAAACAAGATTCATTCGTAGCTCTGCTTTAGCCCACCTTGTAGACAGTGAGCATAAAGTTGATGTTAACAATACAGCATTTGAAGTTATTTATCGTATTCCAACTAGTCTTAATATTGCTTTACGAGTTCGTCTTCTACATCCACGTGAAGTAGCCAAACCTGTGTTCAGGAGAAATTCGAACAGCTACTTTCCTTACCTTGTCCATCGTTACATGAATTCATAAACCGGTCAACTTCACCATAGCCCTAAGCCTTTTTAAAATTAACATTGCCCAAATTATTTTATTTTTCGTTATTTATCTGTCACGTAATCTAACTGAACACTCGCTTATTCCTTAATTACTCTTCATTTTTCTAAAATTATGCATTATGCAATCCACTCGTTGTAACCATTTCTACCCTTTAATTGTTTTTTGGTTAGCATCACTCCATCCCTGACTAATTATTGTTAACAAACATATCGCCAAAAGTACACAATATGGAGGGTAGAAGTAACACAATATAGAAGATCTGTGCAAATGACGATTCTAATATAAGGTGTTCATCAAATAATTGCAAATAAACATTCCGTTACCAATCCTCTTGCCTTCTCCCGCTAATAGATTTCAAGTGCTGATTTGGAGGAATTCGATTGGTTTCAACGTGGATTAAAGGATAAACTGATATCAATAGGAAGAACCATTGAAAACTAAAGATTGCTGGACATCTGTTCGGTACCATTTCAGGACTCTTCAACGGTATGTACCCATGGACGCCTTAGGGATTTTACCTAGGACCTACAAGTTGCTAACAAAGTATTTTACCATTTAGTAAATTCGGAATTGTCAGACAAGGATAGGATAAATAGCAAGTACCTCCTGGTTCTCAACGGTTTTGTAACTGTTATCCGTTTTGAATGCTGCTCATTAATGCACTTTAAAGTGCCTTTGACGCAGTTTATTAAAAGTCACCGCCATTTCTTGAACAATTGATGTCTAAGAAGCTAACTTATCTGCAATAATGATGGGATGTGATTGTAACGGAATAAATGTTTGCGAAATCCCTCCTAAATGATCTATTTACGATATTCCTGCTTATTTGGATATTTCGATTAACTTTGTAATTATTATCCTCTTTTTTCCTTGTCCACATATCATTGTTCTGACGTTCGCATATCACCAGTGGACTTAATGCTTATTATTTGTCCTTGTTACTGTTTAGTGTCTAGTTCAAATGGTTCTTCAAGTATTGGTTTGTAGGGATTTGATTGATTGGATACAGGATTTCATCAGGCAGGTAGTAACCTGGGATTCTAGTGGAAAGACCTGACCAGTAGGTTGCAGCAGGTCGGGTGTGAGGACAAATACTCGCCGAAGACATTGGCTAGTGGTTGCGCTATGTCGTGAATTGGCAGAGGTTAGAATTTATGGAATGGCCATTGGATCGGGTCCCAGTGGCTTAATGGTCTACGAGCTAGCTCGCCTTGTAACCAGAAGGTCCTGGGTTCGAACCCGAGGGGGATGGATGCGTACTGATGAAGAGTCCCAAATCAGAACGAAACAGCTATACAGTACTCCCAGCAAGTTTTCCAATGGTTCACTAACCAATGTCAGCTCATGATGGAATCCTGTAATCAAATGGTTCTCTTTGCTGTTGTGTTGTGGTATTGATGATGTGTTGTTTTGAAATTGTGATTTGGTTTAAATTAAGTCGAGGTTTGCTGTAGGAATTCGAATCTTGAACTATTTGCCGGAAATATTTGGTGAATGATTCCTGCAGACAGGGAATATTCTTCTTCATTCCCAGGTACTTCTTACAGGTGATATCTGGTTAATTAATTTTGTTCTGCAGTAATTGTCTTGTTTTTGAGAACTAATTTGATCTGTATAGCTACCTGATGGCATTGTTGAGGTAATTTGAGTATTATTATTATTATTGTCCTATGTTCCACTAGGAACCCAAGGGAACAATAATAATATAATAATAATATTATTATTGTCGTCAAGTAGTACCCCAGATTTTATCTGATATTTTTTTACTGTCATCGGGAGATTTTAAGACCGTGCGTAACTTGGAAAGTTTTGGTCAGATATACAGTAGAACTCAACGATTTGTTTCCTGCATTCACACCATAGCATGTCAGGTTTCGTCGCTATAGTGATTTAGGCGGCCATAAATTTTAATTTTTGATTACAGCTTGATTCCACACGGTATTTTTTGGTACAGGTTTGGAATTTTCAGCATGTGATATCGGTAGCCCAAATTTTGCAGGCCGACCATAGGTTTCAGTTGTGCGTTGGAAGGGGATTGAACCCCGGACCATATGCATGGTCGGTGAGAGTCATAACAACTGTGCCACCGACATATATATATATATATATATGAAGAAGATTTGTAGCTGAGGTGGATGATATTGAATTGGCTGTATTCTCTGAGCTGGTTGATTTAGTTGCGAAGCTTTCGTCATCCTTCTAGACAACATCTTCCTTCGGCGCAGGTTTTAGTATAAAATGAACTGATTCAAATTTTCCATGATCAATAGACACGTAAATTAACAACTAGTCATGACAGTGGTTGCCAGGAGATACAATTACATCATAGCTGATGGAGAATTTGAATAAGTCCATTTTATACTAAAACCTGCAGCGAAGGAAGATACTGTTTAGAAGAACGTTGAAAGTTTCGCAATTAAATCAACCAGCAAAGAGAACAAAATTAATTCGACACACGCACACACAACTTTTGTTTTGGTTGTAAAATGACTGGAGCTGAAGTATGCTTGATGTTTTCTTTCCGAAGATAATATAAACTTATTGATTCAGGAGTATCCTTTATTAATCTTTGTTGCCATATTTTTTCAGGATACCGTTAATATGGTTTTCATTGCATAATTTGCATTACATGTATTAAATATGTCGGGAAACGGCACCTTTTAGTAGAATCTTCAATGTTTTACTAACTTCCCGTCTTTCCATACAGTATGAAAATACAAATATTTGACAGACAAAGTCGGCGGATCTATGTCGGAGTATACACGAAGGGGAATCACTGTCAATTACAACATGTAAGCTGTACATAATACACGGGCGTCTGATGTCCATTCACTTGATGAATACACACTTGAACAATTTTACTTAGTTTCTTAATGTAACGCAAAACTTTTACCAGTAAATATTTAATTTAGTCCAACATTAAGATATTTCAGTGTGATAAATTGGATATAGAGTATCAGTGCTGGTGAACATTGAATAGTTTGTTTATTCGAACTGGTTTCCATTTGGCGGGAGATAAGAAGGCTGTCATCGTGTGCTGGTTAGCAGAAGATTGGAGAAATACGATCAGAAGTATTGTTGTACATTACTATTAACGTTTATCTGCAGACTTTGACACTTATTAACCGCTGTAAATCCATTTCGTTATCGCTTTAAGAATAAACAATCGTGTTGTTCAACCGTCTTCTGTTGTTCTGCATCGGTTACAGTGTATAGTATCTTCTGAAACCAGCGATAGGTTCAGGACCTATGCGATATGAATATTTGACATGGAGAGTATCAGCATTACCTGTGAATATATATTTATTGATGTCTTCAACTACATAAAAACTTGGTGGTTTCCGACTGACAGACATAAGTGAAGAGTAAGATGACGTCTAAAGATATTGTCATAAAAGACCATTTAAAAAAGTCAAAACTATGCCTCAAACTGATGAAGAATCCTTAATCAGGACGAAACAGATATCCAGTACTCCCTGCTGGTTTTCCAATGGTTCTCCCACTGATGTCAACTCGTGATCGAACATGTAACCAAGCAAATCTGTTCAAATCAATTGTTGAAAATTAGTCCGATGCTCTTTACTGACTAGCTCCATAGATGAAGTTACCTGGAGCTCCAGTGAGAAGTCTTAACCAACGGGTAATCAAGTAAGAGGTCATTTACTCGCCTATGACGTCAGCTGGCGGTTGCGCAATATATTTGTATATCACGAGTTGGCAGAAGTTGGGATTGGTGAGCTGGCAATTGGATAGGAGCCCATTAGCTGAATGCTGTACGAGGTCTCCTTGTAATCGGGACGTCCTGGATTCGAGCCCTGGCGGTGGGTGTGTAGTAATGAAGAGTCTGAAACTAGGACGAAATACCTAACCAGTAATCCTAGGTTTTGCAATGGTCCTCTAACTTATGCCAACTCGTGATGCTAACCAATAACAATAGTAATCCTCTGAAATTTGTCAAGTGCTATAGAAGCGTCAAACAATAACCTCCATCAATCCAGTCACTTCCTTTAAAGAATCTTTATATAACTTTACCGTTCAAGGGTGGTTACAAAAGTTTCACTGCAGCACTCAATAAAACTTATGATGCAGCTAAGCTAATTTTGATATATGAAAAACAAAATTCGTATTTCCCTGTAGACCTTCACAGAGTCAGAATTATAGTGTCACATCCCACTGTGTTTACCAGTTTACATATATGCCTGGTAATACTTACAAAGGAAGGACCCATTGATCTCTTCTAGCTAGAATTACCGAACGCATTCTTAATTTAATTTGTTAGATTTCATTGCTAACAAACATCAGTGAGAAAGAGCTTTGCAATCTAGGAGGCAATACACGACTGTTTCGTCCTATCCTGGGACTTTTCATCAGGGAAAACCCATGAGTCATTCAACACTGATCGAATCGGAGACCTACAGACTACGAGACTATGCTCTTTGATTATCTAGCCACTTGGGATGGAATGCAATGACCCGTGATTTCTAACTTCGTCAATTAGTGGTATACCGCCAACCTCACCTATACCTTCAGTGAACTGAAAGGACAAATAAGGCTGTCTGACTCAATCCTGATGACATCATAGAGACAGATAATAAATTTGATTTCACTGGAGTTTTTCACCCCACACATAAAACAGGCTTTGGGGATGCTGGTGTTTTCGTTGAAATCTTAGCCATTTAACGGCTTAAACCCATTTTATATATTGTTATTATTTTGAACCTACCTTAATAATCGAAGTCTATGGACGAGGTTTATTCTACTAATTGATACTTTAAGTCTCCCTTTCTTCTCACTTCATTTTTCTGATCTCATTTCTCTACCTCTTATTTATAAAATTTGGATTCTTTGTTGTCTGTTGCCATATCTTATACGGTCGTTTGACAAGTACGTTTGTTCTGAGAATGCTTGAAATGTGGTGGGTAAATATATTACCTTCAAATATTGGTTTGTAGGGATTTGATTGATTGGCCACAGGACTTTATCATGAGGTAAAATCGTTTTGACAAGCAATGGAAAACCAGCCAGCAGTTTCGTCCTAGCCTGGGACTCTTCAGCAGTACGCAACCACCGAGGTTTGAACCCAGTACCTTCTGGTTACAAGGTGAGCTCGTAGACTATGAAGCCACTGAGACCTGATCTAATGGCCCTTGATGAAGAGTCCCAGACTAGGACGAAACTGCTGGCTGTCCAGTACTCGAGTGCCAGTTTTCTAATGGTTCTGTAACCAACGTCAGCTCATGATGAAATCCTGTAACAAATGTATTACACATTTCAGATAAATTATGCCTTCCTCTTATTTTGTCTAAATTCTTCTACCACTTGGAAGCAACCTCAGCCATCATAATGTGTTAGATTCAACTGAGTTCGACAGTGTATCCACGATGAGTTGGTATCTCTAAACATTGCCACTGTCTTCAGGAATGTCCCTCTCATCGAATATATATACTAAAATGTAACATAGAAGCATACAGTTATCATGGAAGTAAACTTACTAAATTCGGTACAGTCAATGCAGGACGTTCACTTATAACTGAAGTTAGAGAAAACGCAGAATGATTACACAATATCAATTGCAGTTTAGCTTTAATAATGAATAAACTATATAACTAATATGGGAATCAGTTAAAGCGGTACTGTTGAAAATATCTGTAATCAGTAAAATTAGAACTAAATTAACAATCAAAGTCTTAAGAAACAGTTTCATTATTCTTATGAATTGGAATGACTACTGGAAACTCAAATTAGCTTGAAAATCCCCATTGAGTCATATGAAAAAGAGAAGAAGGCCCATTGCTTGCAGATTTCTTCATGGCAAAACTCGAAAACAAATTCCTGAAGAAAATGATCGATACCTTCGAAATCTATAAGAGATATGTCGATGAAACTTTCATTATCGTCAACCACGAAGAAAATCTAGACGAGATCTTGAAGTCGTTTAACAACTGCCACCCCGCGATCCAATTCACGCTGGAGAAAGAGTCCAACTCCAAAATATCCTTTCTTGACGTCCAACTAACAATACGAGAACAGGATGGAGCACTGAAAAGGTCTATCCACAGAAAGTCGACGTGGAACGGACAGCTTACTAACTTTCACAGTTGGGTACCCCTATACACCAAATGAAACCTGATCTGTTCACTCAGCTACAGAGTTCACAGAATTTGCACCCCGGACACCATAGAAGATGAACTGGACAATCTCAAGAGAATCCTTCTTCGCAGCTGAACTACGACTAACCTTTTCCACAAAACCTATGATTCACGTGAACGTGAAGGATAAGCTACCGCTGCTGGCCTCATCAATGTGTATTTATCAATTCACCTGCTCGTGTGGAGCCAGGTATGTCGGTCGTACCCAGCGCTCGCTTTCCAAACTTATCACCGAGCACTTACCAACATGGTTTTACAAAGGAGAAAATCAATGCCTCCGCAGCTCCATCTTAGAACATCTGATAGAATCCGGACACCAAGCTACACCCCAAACAAACTTCAAAGTCGTCTACAGAATACGAAGCAGTTTTCCTAAAATTGTATGAATCAAACTTCTTCAAACTGCAGAAGTAATGGTAATTCACTTGCCAAGTCCTGAACTCTGCATACAGAAGAAATTCGTTCAATCACTACACTTGCAATGGACGTAATCTATCTTATTAGCAGACAAGTAAATTCTATCTAATCTTTTTTTCTGTCTCTTCATTAGTATTATTTTGTCTTTTCAATTGTAATATTTTACATTTTCAAACTCAAATTAGTCCCTTCAAATAACACATAGACAAAGTCATAGGAACACAGGAATATCTATTACGTGTTTGTGAACCCTGAATCTAAGTTTTGTGCTTAGTATCTGCATCACCGAAGTAACGGATTTCTCCTTTAGGATTCAGATCCTGAAGATGAGTGCCAGTAAGTAGGAAACCTAGATCCACGACTTCCTGGTTATTGTCATCAGCAATCGAACACTGGAATGTAAGATACATTCCACCTGAATTATCGCTAAGTTCCGAGTAGAAAATATGGTTTCAACAGCACGTTTCCATTTTTGGTCCTTTCCACTGAATTCCTCCTCAGCTAGCCCCTGGTGTTGCCCATAGGCTTTCATCTTCTGCTCACACGGTCTTCTCCATTTCACCCACGAGGAGACCAATTTCAATTTACCGAAAAGAAACTCCTTTTTGAATTATTTGCTCTTATATTCACGTCTGGATGGGTATCTTTGGTGAAATAAAAATTAAAAAGGACCATTTGACATTGAAGGGACTCAGTGTGTTTCTGCGCTATTCTATCAAGCTTGCTGAAGTGAATGCGACGATCGGTTTTCTCAGACACTGCATAAATAATCACAGATTTTCGAAATGGTATTGGAAGGCTCTTCGTCGCACTCGAAATCTCTTGAACGTCACACTCTGAACCACATCGATTCCATTATTTCAGGTGTCTTAGAATTCGAGGGGAACACAGCGCAGCGTTCTTCTGAGCTATGTGAGTTGTCATGTGATGAACGCCAAGCTTTTACCGACTATATCAGTGAGGTTACAGAGAAGCGTACAACAGCTGTCCATTCAAACCTATTAACAAGTTTAAAATCCACAGAAATACGACGCAAATGTCCGGTAGATCCCACTATATTTGTGTTCAATCATTCTTCAATAACTTTATCTCTCAGACAACTAGAGGCTTTGCCTTTTGAGCTGAAGTTCGGCGACATGAACCAAGACATAATCAAGCTCCGTACACATGTTGAGTGTGAAAATCTGATCAGTCAGACTAGCAATTTTTCCCAGTCTCTGAAGAGAAGTTCAAACGTTTTAAGTCAACAATTATAAATTCAAGCCATCAGTACCTCGATGAAAAGTCTAAGTTCAGTAATCTTTTCACTAAAGAATTTAGAGAACAGCTCAACCAACTAAGACGTAACAAGGTGTTGTTGATCACACACCCTGATAAAGGTACTAGCGTAATCTTAATGAATAGAAAAGACTATACTGATAAATTGTTGGCAATTCTTTCAGACAACAACAAGTTCGCTGCACCTGACGAACAGAAAGGCAAAACAGAAATAACTTCAGTGCAACTCACTGAGATATTAAGAAAGCTAACCAGTGATCAACTTATCTCTGAAAATGTCTGCAACAGCTTTCGACCAACTGGTTCAATAATACCTTGAGTCTAAGGATTACCAAAAACTCACAAGCAGGGACTTCCTTTGAGCCTTATTTTGGACATGTCCGGTTCTTCATACCATCAAATTACAAAGTAGCTGGCAGTCAAGAGAAGCCTCCTGATAACGGTAAGCTGAGGCCTTAGCAATTCAGATGGAAAACCCTGGTTTGTATACACAGAAGAAACTTCTCTATCCCTTCCTTCTATCTTGGGTGTAATTCCAAGTTCAACTATTTTGTTATTAATACTGTTTTGAGCATCTTTTGTAATTTCTAAAATCTCATTCATGCATTTAGTCCTTAGGCGTTATCATTATATTATTGTTTCCTTTAGTTCTTAGAGGAACATAGGGCTTCAGCCGCACGTCTCCACCGCGTTCGGTTTTCTGCCAACGTTTTCACCTGGCTCCATGACCGCCCACATGCTTTCATCTCCTCCTCTCCCGATCTCCTTCATATCATCCTTACACCGAAGACCTACTCATCGCTTCCCATCTGGATTCCACGACAGCGATAGCCTGAAGTGTGATTTCATACATAAAATAAAAAATAATTATATCTAACTTCAACTGCACAGCTAAATGAATGGATTCGCCGCAGAAAAGAGACTCTTCATTGAACGATTTGTTCTTATACTCATGTCTGGATGAGTACCTTTCGTGAATCAATTCAGAAAGGTGGCATAATCGTTTTATGTAATTAGATCGTTACAGGTGTATGAACAGACTATTCGTATTACATTTAATGAGTGGTATATAAATAGAGAGAGTATAAAAATGTTGAGAGAAGACTACAATTTAGAATAACTTACTCATATTCTTATTATCTACTAGTTCACATGAATTATTATTTGACTTTGTGGACTCATTAGAAGCTGAACATTTCGCCTGTTTTTTCGTTCCAATTTGTATTAAAAGTTGTAAATAGGCAAGTACGAGAACTGCTCCACAATATTGTGAAATTAGAAATATCTGAGTGATATGACGAGAGAAGAGAAACAAGAAAAACAGCGAAGATATAGAGTGATGAGTAAATGTTTTACCTAGTGTTATCTATTTATATTACAGATCCTACTTTTGGTATCTGTAGACAGAAATCGTAGGCCTCATTCAGGTATAAACGCTTCTTGGAGAAATTCTTCAAAATTACCATTATTTCCAACTTGAAGCCGTTTTGTTATGGTGGTAGTTTCCGATGGGACCCAAGATAAGCGTTTTATCCTATTTGTGACAATTGGGTCGGAAGTACAGATATCCTTGCAAGTGGTGGTGTTCCTCTTGAGATTTGTGGGTCTTAATTAATTAACCGTCCAATGATTAATCGCTTTTGTCAATGTTGGTGAACATTGAATCATTTGTTTATTCGAACTGGTCTCCATATTGGCGGGAAACAAGAATGCTGTCATTGCTTAATCGTGCAATTTTTGACAGAAGATTGGAGAAATACCATCAGAAGTGTTGTTGTATATTATGTTAACGTTTATTTGCATACTTTGGCACTAATTAACCATTGTAGATCTGTTTCGTTATCGCTTCAAGAATAAAAATCGTGTTGTTCAACCGTCTTCTGTTGTTCTGCGTCAGTTACAGTGTATAGTATTCATTGTATCAGGCTTAGTCTTATGAAATCACCGGTAGGTTCAGAATCCCTAAGATCTGGGCATTTTTTTTTGATTTTTTTTTTTTTTTTTGATTTACAGCTTGATTCCACACCGTATTTACAGTACAAGTGTGGAATTTTCAGCATGGATATCGGTAGCCCAAATTCAGGCCGACCATAGATATCGGGTGTGCGTCGGCAGGGGATCGAACCCCGGACCATGTGCATGGTCGGCGAGAGTCCTAACCACTGTGCCACCGACGCACACAGCTTTTATAATTACACCAACTTATAGATGAATAATCTTTTCATTTGAGTAAAATGCGAACTTCTAATTTTCTGACTAGACTTCCCACTGGCTAATGGAGTTTTCATCTTATATCACTGTCAATGCTTCTTTGACTATCTATATATACACCTCACAGTTCTTTGCTTACACTTATCTGATGCAATGGATTATGACTTAAGGGAAAATCTTACCCGAAGGATTCAAAACAGTGGTCTCTTGATAACAAACAACCAGTCTAAAAGCTCAGCTATAAGACTCGTGATTTCATGTAAAGTGAACTTCGAAGCTTACCGGGAAAGGCGCTAATCTATCAATGAGAGATAGACAATTGGAATTTTGCCATCAGTCAGGTTCATATTGCACATTCAATCATCACACATCAAACATCAATAGTACCTTGCTAATCTAAGGTTACTCAAGTTATCTAATACTTTCAGAGTATAACTAAATGCGGGATTCGGATATACAGTCACCTACTCTATAATTTACTGGTGCATAATTAATTTGTTTCCGTGAATTAGCAACTAAATTAGCTACAATAGCTTTATTCTGGACAGTGCTTATATAAATGTATAGAATTTTCAACAAAGTTTATGGCATGATATTTCCTCTTCATTCAAGATCTTCAAGTAAAAGATTAATTGGCAGTAGATAGTGTGATACAATGTGGCTTAACCTGAAGTATAAATCAGTTCATCATCATGATATCTCTCCTTTTCCAGGCCAAGTTAAACTTTAAGCACCACTCACTACCAATGGAGTGCAACCGCACCAGTAACCTTGAAACGTTCACTGAGCAATTTAGTGAAATCCGGCAAATAATGTTGTCATCATCAATAAAATATGCTAATCGAAGTGTTATGTTATTAAATGGAATATCTGGCAAGTTTCAGCTTAGATTTGAGAAAGATTAAGTTACGCTTTAAGCCAAGGACAAGTTAGGGTTAGATTAACCTAATAAAGGTGACATTAGTGTTGGTTCGAGTTAGATTACAGTTAGTTTAGGGATATTTTCACGTTAGGGTTAGGTTCAGGAAAGATTAGGATTATTGTTAGGCTTAGAAGACCTAAATAATTACATGCATAGAAAATGGCTAAATTTCTCTGTTGATATAAGAATAGAACTTGTACACTGTGGTAGAGTATAATTCCATTGCGGGGTAAAATTTATTTTGATAAAGTCTCAGGGTGTTATGCAGTAGTATTTACTGATGACGTTTCGAGCACAATTTATTGCTCAGTAAATATTACTGCATAACATTATGAGGCTTTATCAAAAATAAATTATACCCACACTGGAATTATACACTGTTGATACTCCAACCTGATACTGAGAACTATTTTTATCACATGTGAGAGCAAGGTCTCCTCTGCAACACTTTTCTACAGCTTTTGTGCAATTTTTTCATAAATATATGTATTCCATGCACAAAATTGCATCCTTCACGTGATTGGTGCTTTCGAGGTCATTCGCTGATTGGCAGTTAGTGGTGCTTAAAGTTTAACTTTACACCTTGCCACTTTCGAGAAATACACGATGACAATCTGCTGAATGGCAATAATAAAAATTTCAGAAGTACATTTTGATATCCAAGAAACGACGTAACTGAGGAATGGTTACCTCATGTATTGGGATACTGTGCCACCTACGATTTGGCTTTTTCACAAGTATATATATATATATATATATATATATATATGCACTACACAATACTTAATTCCAACTTCTCTTTCTTAATATCCACTTATCTATTCCCCGCTAGATAATGCTTCACATTGCGTAATACACTCTCTGAGACATAGTTGCCAGAATTTAATTCATCTTATGAAGTCTTCCTTAAATGTAAATGCGACTGTACAGCTCTTGAAAGTGATTCGTTAGCAAGGAAATATTCTTTGTTGTTGAATATCTTGTAAATTAATATTTAATCACACAGTGGGACTAAATTTGTGTGGAAGCACACAAGCTACTTTAATTTTGCTAGTAGCTAAAGAATACTCATAAAATATTTTAATATTTCCTGACTAGATGAAAACTGTTTAAGCACAGAGATAGAGTCACTGTGGATCAATACAAAGTAGATTCATTTAGGGAAATTCTAAATCCCGAGGCATACTGTAATACTGTCACCTGATTATTTGTTAGAAATAAAAAATACCTTCTAAGGGGAAAACCAATTAAGGAATATCATAAAGTTTTCAGGGTGCCTTCTAACAAAATATTTGCTTATTGTACAGAATCATCACATAAGATAATCACAAATAACAGAATATTGTTCTGTCTTGTATAATTTGTGATATTTTGTGTTTGTTTCCTCTGAAAAATGAATTACAGTAAGTTGAAATGGGCATGAGAATAGCAGCGAATCAAGGACGTAACTGGACGGTTAAAACAATATGAAATGAAATAAACTGAGTGCACTTTCTTCGATGAAAAATTAGGTAGGCGATTAATTTAAACAGGTTATTGTTGCTCTTGTCTTCTTATTCATGATTACGATGTGTATGGGTAAATACTAAGCCACATCGTCCTGGGGAGAATCAAACACGCCCTGGATGAAAAACTTCGACCAGAACAGGCTGGATTCAGGAGAAACAAGTCATGCATTGATCAGATCGCCACATTACGGATCATCATTGAACAGAGCATGGAATGTCAGTCACCTCTCTATCTCAACTTCATTGACTTTGAAAAGGCTTTCAACAGCATCGATCGAGAGGTGATTTGACAACTACTTCGCCACTATAGGTTGCCACCGACAATTATACATCTCATCCAACAGCAGTACGACAATGCCGCATGCCAAGTAATCCACAACGGGAAAATGACGGAATCCTTCGAAGTGAAGACAGGAGTTAGACCAGGCTGGCTGCCTACTATCGCCAATGATTTTCCTGATTGCAGTAGACTGGATAATGTGACAGACAGACAGAGGGCAATGAGGAAACAGGCATAAAATGGACTCACACAGAAAACTTGGAGGATCTGGACTTCTCCGATGATATATGTCTGATTTCCCACAAACTGGAAGATGTGCATGTGAAAAGCAACAAGTTGGCAATAGAAGAAGCATCCAGAGAAGATAGGACTTCAGGTGAACATAGAGAAAACAGAGGTGATGAAGATTCCTAGACAGCAGCAACAGCAACAACGACAAACAACAGTCAGCGTAAATGGGAGAAATCTGAAAGAAGCAACCTGCTTCACCTACTTGCCTACCTACCTACATGGGAAGCATCGTTTCAACTACATGCGGACGGAACTGACAAGGATATGAAAGCGAAGATTGGGAGAGCAAGGCAAGCTTTCATTTCTCTAGTCGGTGTAGAGATCAACAGCACTCAGCATGAAAAATAAGGTCCGGATTTTCAACTCCAATGTGGACTCAGTGCTACTGTGACGACAGAAGGCAAGAGTCAGGCAACAGATCATTTATTAAGGAAATCAACGCATATTTATATGTTTTCATGTACATTACTATGGATATTTAAGTAAACAAACACAGTCTTCCGATTGGTTGTTTCTCACGTAAAGTTAATCTTTCATCTATTTGTGACTGTTTCTTGAATGTCAAATCCTCTATATGTTAACTGCATCCGCCTACGCAAAGTAAATCTTTGTTCACTTTTTCTCACGACAAATCTTGGGAACGTAAATATTGACGTAAATTACTGTCTACCAATTTGGCTAGTAGACAGCTCTCACCACACTACTTACTATACAGATCAGACACTTGGCGCGTCACGAAGGGTAATCTGAACAAACTACAGACTTTCATCAAAAACTGTCTTTGCCCAACCATACTCATAATCAGATTGCCGGCCAGAGTTTATCAGCATCAGGGATCTCTGGTAGCGAAAGAACCCAGAAGGAACCAATTTTGCAACAAATATGCATGAACATAAACTAGGCGTCAAAAGACATAACATCTACTGCTCCATATCGCTGCATACAGACAATCGTTGACACCAATTCGACTAGGACAACGTTCAAATATTAGACAGAGGAAACACGCAGAATGCCAGAGAATTTTTAGAAGGTTGCCTGGTATTCCAGTGAATCGTCAGTCAATAGACTAATTGACACTGAGAAAATTTACCAATCGATAAGAAGGAAATCTCACATACAAAGAGTCAAACATCATATCAACGAAACAGTCAACACCAACACCAATACAAGTAACCTAGAAGTTGTGACAACAGACAAAAACAACCAATCACTTTCAAGATCACCAGGATAGATGACTAGTAAACTCGTGAAGAAATCTAAAGGAGCATTTCAAGTTGAAGTGTGCTCTGAAAATATCGCCTAGTAAGTAGGGCAATGAAAGCTTCGCAAATGTGATGAGAAAACTGTTAGGCATGACATGATCAATTTACTGCGGCACTCTAACAAATAGTTCCCATTAGCTTTTGTTCTCCTTTCTTTGTTACTATTATATTGCTGCTCATATATTCTATTACAGACTAATTTTATATATCGTATCCTGTGGTGCACTGTTTAAATATGTGAATGTAATGGTGTTCTTTTTTATTTTATTTCTTTTATTTCTCTTTTTCTTTTTGTTGTTGTTGCTTTATATTTCTAAATCCTTATAAAATTTATGAGGTAATTAGATGCAATATTGTAATGAACGCTGAAAATTCCATACCTGTACCACAAATACTGTTTGGAATAAAGCCATTATTATTATTATTATTATTAAATAAACTATCCAGCTCAGAGAACACAACTACATTAGGATTGAAAACTTCTTACTAAAAAAATGCAGATAATATAAATAAAACACCCTGACCCTAATGAGCTATCAACTCATTATCAAAACAATACTTAAAAACTAGGTCGTTATGAAATTTGCACCTCAATTCCTTTATAAGGGCGCTATAATAATGGTAGGTTCCTTTATCCAATGATTAGCATGCATTCAAGGTCATTGGTGCGTCCGCACTGCTGGATTGTTATACTTTAACTTGGCTGACAAATAATTATTATCAGAACTGTTAGCACTTAGAAACAGGAATATTATTCACAATAGTATGAAATTAACAATGTTAACAAGGTATGTTTTGAAATCAGGAGTTTGAAAAGAAACAGAAGTTGGCGAAAAACCTAATGAATGTGGATTATACATTTCAATGAATAAGAGGTTGGATGGAGTAAGTGAGACGCGAAGGTGCGGTGAGGACTTCCTTTTTCTAGTTGCTCTCAGTAATCCTTTTCGAGCAATTTCAACTGTTATGTCAACTATCAATTCCATTTTTATAACTAATTTCTCACTTGGTACTTCTGTCTCTTACAGGTTATTTATCAGTCTTATTGCTCATATGCTTTCTTGATGAATACCGATATCGATAACCAGTCTGCATCAGGGTGTTTCAGGAGGCCTACAATTCTCCGTTTAATGTGCCTGCCGTGCACAGGCAACAGATTCTTTTGAGAACAGATTATAGGATTTCATCAGGAGCTGGCACCTGCTAGAAAGCCACTGGAAAACCATCAAGGAATACTGGACAGCCGTTTTGGCCTAGTTTTGAACTCTTCAACAGGGGTTTGAACCTAAGGCCATCCGGTTATAGGGCAAGCTGAAGACACCCAAACTAGGACGAAACAGCTGTTCGGTACTCCCAGGTTTCCCAACGATTCTCTAACCGATGGCAGCTCATAATGAAATCCTTTAACCAATCAAATTCTTGCAAACCACCATTTGAAGATTCGCTTAGGTTTCTTTTTCTACTTATTGGAACAGAGATGTTGAGGTGATTAGTTCAACAAATATAAACTTAGAATGTTAGATATAATGTACAACTTACTTCTAAATAGTATTTATGATCTCCATGAACACGTCGTTTAACTCCTTTCATTCCAAATGAATCACATATTGGTAATACAAAACCACATATACACTGAACCATTGCAAACATGAATAGTAAACTTGCTGTCATAGATTCTCTACAAATAGACAGAATAAAACGACACCATTTAGAAGACGTGTGTTGGATATCTTGAAGACAATATTGACTGAATAATAATGTTGAGAAGTTAGCGTGAATCAACCGAAATTCATTTCAACATTTAAAGTCCTGAAGTGTTTAGGAGAAAATTTCCAACTTTATGATGTTGTGAAATTAAAATGCACTCGCTGAATTATTTGCTAACCTTCTTTTGATACCTATTCACTCCAATGAAGCACAAAGTACCTAAGTATATCGTCGGTATTTGTGATCGGCACTCTTATATGATTCCATATTAGATAAGTTTATTCGATACGACAAATACTGGTACAGTATTCATAACTGGATGACGTTTCAAGCACAAACTAGTACTCATTATCAATATCAGTTTAGCTATTTGGTTTCACAATTTGTCTGATATATATATTTCCTCTCTTTCTCTCCAACCTCCCTTTGTTGTTTGTTGCCGCTTTCCATATCTCCGGTATAGTCACTGCGTCATTCCGATTGCATGTGTGTAGTGCTGAATCGATAAACAAAGATTCCGTGTGAATGACTTCTCTCTCCACCTGACTATATTACTTTTTAATACTCTTACCCTGTCCAATTCACCCTATTTTGTGATTACACGCAAGTGAATGCATTGCAATGGCCAGTTTGACCTATGTAATTGACCTCACAGTTACTACATTATTATAATTGTTTCCTTTAATTCCTAGAGGAACGTAAGGCTTCATTCGCACGTCTCCATTGCGTTCAGTTCTCTGCCAACGTTTTCACATGGCTCTACATCTGCCCACATGCTTTTATCTGCTCTTCGCATCACCTCCTCTATGTCGCCCCCACACTGATGACCAGCTTGCCACTTGCCACTTGAGTTCCATTCAAGCGACCGCCTGGCGTGTGATGTCACTCACTTGATGTTTTGTTTTCTCAAAGTATGGCCTACAGTTCACCTCCTTTTCTTCCTGCATATTTGTTGCAAAGTTGGTTCCTACTGGGTTGTTTCGCTCCCAGAAATTCCTGTTGCTGACCATTTTTGGACGGCCATTGATATTGAGTAGTGTTGGGCAAAGACAGTTTTTGATGAAAGTCTGTAGTGTGTTCAGATTATCCTTCGTGACGCGCCGTCAAGTCTCTGATCTTTATAGTAAGTAGCACTGACTTCACATTGCAGCTGAAGATCAGGATCTTATTTTTCATGCTGAGTGCTTTTGATCTCCACACAGACTTGAGAGAAATGAAAGTTTGCCTTGATTTCGCAATCCTCGCTTTGATATCTTCATCAATTCCATCTGCCTGTAGTTGAAATGAAGCTTCCTAGTTAGGTAGTTAAAGGAATTTGTTTCTTTCAGATCTCTGGATGATTGTTGCTGTTACTGTTATCTAGGAATCTTCATCACCTCTGTTCTGTGGATGCTTCTTCTGTTAACTTGTTGGTTTTCATTTGCTTGGCATTCAGTAAATTATATTACTTCTCTTAATTAGATCTATCGGGTCCTTAAGCAGACCAAGTTTGTCTTTGAGTGAGTGTGTTGGGTTTAACGCCATTTTAATTCCAACTATATTAAGAATCCTACATTGGGCTTCTGATACTCCTTCTTTATGTGGCAGTACTGTCGAGGCGTTGTATTCCTTATTGTTTGTATAACTTTCTTTATTTACATTAATACTTTTATTGTCATTGTGGGTTTTCATACATTTTTTGAATAAAATCTAGTGAGTAGTTACTCATTAGTAATATTTCCTTTATTTGTTTGACTTCATTATTTAAATCTTCTGGCACTACTAGTTCGGTTCTTGACTCGATTACCTAAAAGCCTAAATGAACTTATCTTGATTGATCTTAAGTGTAATGAATTAAAGTCTATGTATTTATTAGAGTGTGTCATTTTTCCATAGATGCTACAGACGCCTACACACCATTTTGTTTTTGTTTGATTTGACAATCACGCATGGTCAACTCACCTTGTTCATTTTCCAGCTTCAAAGTGAATTGAATCCCATCTATCCCTGAGTTTATATATATATATATATATATATATATATATATATGGAAAGACTCAGGTTATGTTCAGATTTTAACAGAGTGAATGTTTCATCATTGCCTAGGAACGGAGTTAAACGTTCTGAGGGCTTTACTATCCCAAATATCTGTAAGTATGTCCTCGACTACGGGATATCTTAATGATTCAACTCCTACTCATACAATGAAGGTTAGATATGGTTGTACGCTCAGTATGATTTCGTCCTACATTCCTAACTACTTCCAGGCTTACATTAAGTGAAAAATGAGTGTATAAACTTGTTACCTCGAAACTAATCGTTTCTTTTCATCTTTTTCCACTTGAATTTCATCTAGTTTTCGTCTCATTACGTATGAATTAGTTAGCCTAGAATCTGACCGATATCTAATGGGACATAGTACTGGTGCTAAATATTTAAATAACTCAAAAGTCAGGGTGTTTCTAAAGCCAGCTACTTGCTTAAAAGGGTATCCTGCTTTATGAATTTGAGTAGTAAGATAGATCCTACTAGGGTTGTTAGTTTTAGGCATTAACGTAAACCGTGTTTTGACTCACTCACAAATTAATGAAATCAAAACACGTAGTTCCTTGAAGAGTCTCTTTCCGTCTGCGAATTCATTCACTTAGCTGTACAATCTCAGTCATACTTCTATGTTGCTGTGGTGACAGGTACATTGGTCGTTGAACGCGTATCCTGTCTAAAGGGGTTCAAGAACATTGTCTCACAGCATGGCTGCAAAAAGGTAATAGTGACTGTATAAGGAGTGCGATAATCGGCCATCTCGTCAACACTGGTCGTTCCATCTCAACAAACACCTCCTACAAAGTAAAGAACAACCTACCAAAGGCAATGCGCCTTCGTCTCCTTCATATTGCTGAATCCTTAGCCATTCAGATGGTAAAACCAGAGTTATGTGTACAAAAGAAAATCATCCAACCACTTCTATTATCATGGTAACAAACGTGCCGACTCCTACTGACTTCATGTTTGTGTGCTTATTGGTTCTCTTCTCTAACTCCTCATAACATTTGTGTTTCTATGCGCATCCTAAACACAACTTACTCATTAAACTATTGATCTTATTACGTAGCTCTATTACGCTTATTCAACTTCTTTAATGTGTTAATAAATGTTTCTTTTGACAACACATTACCACCACCCTCTTACCAATCTTCATCCCCCCCTAGTTATAGTTTGACTGGTCATCACATTTTTAAAACGTCTTGAGAATAGTAACCCTAACTTATCTTAATTCTTATCGGACAAACCTAATGTATACACATACACATACAAAAAGAATAATTATATATAATTGCGATTGTGTACAGCTAAGTGAATGAATTCGCCACCGAAAAGAGACTCTTCGTTGAACTAGACGTGTTTTGTTTTTCTTCAATGTCTGGATGGAGGCTATTCACCCAGAAATGACTTTATTTAGCATAGTGCATCCACTGTAGATTTATTTGATCTTATTCATAACCGTAACTAAAGGTTTTTAAACTCAACAAATCATGTCTTCAAGAGTATCAAATTAACAAAAGAGTAAAACATCGCCTTGCCTCAAGGTTGACTTAAAACGACAGAAAAAAAATCTATTTCAGTAATGTAATTAATATCTGTGCGAAAAATTGTTTCATGGGACAGAAATCTGTAACTGTACTAGTGTCTTTTTTATTCCTTCACTTTCCCAGTGGAACATGGGGTTTCAAGCTAGAGGCTTGAAGTTTCTGTAGCAGTGTTTATTTTTACAGGATGGGGTTGCTAGCCTCATGCCCAACCTTCCCTCTTTGCCAGTTCTATTACTGGCTTAGCGAGGTAAAGGGTGCATCCGCACAAGCAGCTGACATGTCAACAGATGAGGGACATTCCAGTCCAGTCAGCCAGTAGGAAAATCAAAGTTGGATGAAAAAGAAATAATAGCTGACACTGGTTGCACAAGAGGCAGTGGCTTTCGGGGCCCATGTCGTCTAACGGATAACTCTTTGACCTTTGAAACGATGGGTATCGGGTTCGAGCCTCAGTGGGAACACTTTCACTGACTGAGGAATGCGGACACATCCACCAGCAAATGGTTCCTAGGTGGGAAGAAATGCTCATCTTGGATTCCACTGCTAGTCACCATCCATCAAGTCGATTCTTTAGAGGCATTCAGCTCTCATGAAAAGGTGAGAAGTTTAAATCTAATTGTTTGTTAATACTGATGAATAGGGGGGAGGTGGGAGGAACTGTGTGAGATAGTCTGGAGTCACCAAGTCTTGAGAGCCAAATTGACGGCCGAAGGTGAAATGAAAATTTGTGACGTGGTGGAATATGAATCTGGGGCCCCCGAAAGACTAGTCGACCAGCTACGCGATGAGACTCAACCACGAAGCCAAGGCTATTTCAGACAGCATTCACATCAGTTGTAAATAAATCTTGATTCATAAAAGTGTCACTTTCATTAAACTGCAGAAATGCCACCAGTCTAATTAAATATCAATAGCGTGTTAAGTTTAAAACAAATATTTAACTTATTATCGTCACAAAAACTGTTTCAATTACGAGTTGACAATATAAGATATTCACAATTTAACCGATTTAATATAAACAAACAGATAATAATAATAATAATTAAATGTTCAATATGGCTTCAGATTCACTTTCAATGAGAATCGTATTGTTTATACTTATTTAATAGGTACATATTCTTTTCAGATATGATATTATAAAATTATAGAAAGTAAATGGAAAGTTCACGTCAAATATACTACTTAATTAACATTGATAAGTAGGAATTCAACGCGTCAGTCTTAAGAATTCATAAGGTGGTTGGTTGTTTTTATTTATATGTACCTTTTTAAATGTTGTAATGGCAGTGTACGAAGTTCAAAACCATTCAGCAACTGTGTCTATTTTTTGAGTATATGAATGTTTTTAATCGACTTTCAAGGTCCAATCCTAGCTGACTGTTTCCTCGCTAAATTAGAGAAT